GATAATAGTCATTTGGACAAGTGAGGATTAATTAATGAAAGATAGCTTTCAATTATGAAAGAGAAAGCATCATCATTAACCAACTTGCATAGGAAGATTTGATGAGGGTAATGTAGCTGAATTAGACTTCCTAAAGGTGTTTGTTAATTGCAGCATCTAGGTTTATCAGCAGCAGAAGTTTGGAAACTAAAAGAGACTGACAGGAAACAGAGGGTAGGAATGATTGGTTGTTTTTCAGACTGGAGGAAGAGGGCTTTTCCCAGAGGTCAGTTGTGGGAATTACTGCTGTTCTGATTTGTGTAATAACTTAGAGCTTTATTTTACAGACACACTTAGAGATGACACAAAACTTTATAAGCATTCTGAACCGTGAGGTTGATAGTCAATATTGAAGAGGTTAGAAACCAGCTGGTTGAAAGGGTGGATCAAATTTAATGCATTGAAGTTGTATGTACTGTATTTTGACCGGAAGAATAAGGAAAGCTAATAGAAAATAAAAGGTAAATTCTAAAGGGAGTGTAAGAATGGAGATCTTGGGGCATGTATACAGAGGTCATCAAAGGTATCAGGACAGTTTGAGAAAGCTGTCAAACCAGGCAATCACAGTGTTGGGTTTTACATTTTAGAGGAATAGAGTACAAAAGCAGTTTGAGATAGATCATTACAAAACACTAGTATAACCTTAACTGGAGTATTGTGTCCAATTCAGGTTTGGGGATGGTGCAGAAAAGATTTGAGAATGGTTTCAGGGATAGGGGACTTTAACTGTGCACATAAATGAAAAAGAAATTAGAGAAATTGTGTTACAAATATTAAAAATGGTGAGGGATTTGGTCAGATTGGGAGTTGGGGGCGAGAGAGACTGTTCCCATTGCTGACTGAGAATGAAATCACACTGATAATGGCACAGCTAATAAAAGAACCAACAATATGACACGAGAACATGTTCCAAGCTAACAATAAGAAAAAGTAAGATGAAAAAGTGATGGTAATAAAGGCTGTCTGTGTTTAGTTCGTGAGTAACTGAACATTACAGGTCAACAAATCCAAGGCTTGATATTCAGTCTGTGTTAATCCAATGGTAAGGCCCCAACAATTTTTGTTAATGTGGAGAAATCATTAGTGTTTCAGCTCCTACTGTTGCTAATATTGTTTGTAATGATCCTGGTGGTATTGTCCCTTGTTGGGATAGCTTGCTGCCCTTCCCTTATAAGGTTTACACATTGCAATGAGGGAAACCACTTCCATAGGGACTCTTAGCCCAATTTAAGAGAAAAGGGAAGGAGAGAAAACTTGTTTTTAAAGAAGAAAATCAGTTAGCCTTCTTCCTCTGGCAGAACATCTATCTAGGTACTTATTTCCTTATACACAAACTATCCATGCTAACAATTGTTACTTACCTTCATTGAAACTTGCATGTTGCTTTCCACCAAGTAGTTCAAATGTCAGCATTGTTGCATGTCAAATTTGTAGTTAAAGTAAACTCTCTCAGCAACAATCTAAATTGTGTCTGAATTATCAACTTCGTTATTCCTGTCACCAGTGGGGCACATAAGGGTAAACCTATAATTTCCCACGTTTAATGTTTGATCTAAATAATGAGGTGGGAATGAAAGTTTCCAATATGCAGTCCTGAATACACCAGGATCACTGAAGTAGAAATTTCCAGCCCTTTCCCAAATTTAAATTTCAAGAAAGCTCTGATTTTTTTTTTACATTTTATCAAATACACTACTTGTGAGAAATACTGTCACCTCATTTGGGGAGGTAAATATTTACCCCAAAAAACTCCACAAATACTTTAGGCAGGTGATTTTTTTTTTCCTCTTGCCACCATGAATAGATTGAAGTCACCATGTCTCACTCCAAAACGTTCAGTTAAACCTTTTAGGGTGGCATTATACCCTTATTTTGATAGTATGATTACAATTTGTTCGTCTCTGTGGAAACTGACGTAAAATGCCACAGTCTCTTTGTAGTTATGTGAATTCTACAGTTAAAAATATAACCTAGAAACCTCAATAGCTTAATGTTCCCAATGGTATGTGGCAATCTTGACCTTTTCCACATTTCTAAGGAAGACGTCTTGGTATTACCAGTGGGTCGGAAACACATTAATGTGACGCTCTTTATCAAAAATGGAGGCAGGCAAAAAGTGAGAAGCTATAGATCAGAAAGGCTGATGTTTCAGGCCTAGACCCTTCATCAGAAAAGGGGGAGGGGAAGGGGGTTCTGAAATAAATAGGGAGAGAGTGGGAGGCGGATAGAGGAGAGGATAGGTGGAGAGGAGAGAGGTGCAGTGGGAGAGAGATCCCCTGAGGTTTGTTCGGAGGGAGGAGGGTAACTTCTTCAGGCTAGGCATCCTTAGAAGAGGCTTCGCAGTGGGGTTGAAATTGAATCAACCTCTCCACCCATCCTCTCCTCTATCCATTTTCTATCCGCCTCCCACTGTCTCCCTATTTATTTCAGAACCTCCTTCCCCTCCCCCTTTTCTGATGAAGGGTCTAGGCCCGAAACGTCAGCCTTTCTGCTCCTATGATGCTGCTTGGCCTGCTGTGTTCATCCAGCCCTGCACCTTGTTGTCTCGGATTCGCCAGCATCTGCAGTTCCTACTATCTTTGAAGCTATAGATCAGTTAGTTTGACTTTGTAGTGGGGATGTTGCTGGAGTCAATCATAAAGGAGGAGATAACTGAACATTTTGCAAAAAGAAAGCTCAATTCACCAGCATCAGTACAGTTTCATGAAGGGCAAGTTGAACTTGATGACCTTGTTTGTAGTCTTTTGAGGATGTAACCAGCAAAATGGAAAATGGGGATTTAGTGGATGCGGTACATCTAGACTTCCAGAAGGCATTTGAGAATGTGCTACATGAAAGACCCGAGATCTAACCTTCTGGATCAGGGGGTTAGTGGTAGTGTATTGGCTTGGATAGAGGATTGGCTGACTGCCAGAAAGCAGAGGGTCAGGATAAATGAGTCCTTCTCTGGATGGCAAACTAACTAGTGGAGTGCTGCAGGATTCTGCTGTCAGACCTCAACTATTTACAATCTGTATAAATGATCTGTAAGTAGGGATGGAGTGTAACATAGCAAAGTTCACAGATGACACTAAAATAGGTAGGAAAGCCAGCAGTGATGAGATGGAGAGTTTACGGATGGATATTTATAGGCCACGAGAATGGGCCAGAACCTGTCAAGTGGAGTTTAATGTGGATAAGTGCGAGAGTGTCCATTTTGGTTAGAAAAATAAAAGGGCAAATTATTATTTAAATGGAAATCAGGTTCAAAGTGTGTCAGTGCAGAGGGATCTGGGTGTGCTTGTGCATGAATTTCAGAAAGTGGGTATGCACATGCAGCAGGTAATGAGAAAGGCAAATGGAATCCTGGCATTTATTGCAAAAGGACTGGATTATGAAAGTAAAGAAGTGTTGTTACAATTATATGAGGTATTGGTGAGACTGTACCTGGAGCATTGTGTCCAGTTTTGGTCACTTGAGAAAGGGTGGGGGCAGTTCAGAGGAGGTTCAAATTGTTGATTCCAGGCATGGAAGGGCTAATGTATAAGGAGTGTAAAATAGCTTGAGCTTGTACTCACTAGAGTTTAGAAATGGAGCGGGGGGAGTGGGGAGGGAGGAGGGGATGGTGGTATCTGATTGAGGTATGTAAAATGCCAAAGGGGGTTGATAAAGTGGACATTAAACAGACGTTTCCCTTGTGGGACAGTCTCAAACAATTGAGAGGTAGGTTCAAAACTGCAGCAAGAGAAACTACTTCTCTGAGGGTTGGAAAACTGGAATTCCACTGCCCCCAGAGTTCAGTGGGGGCGACAGCCTAGTGGTATTATTACTGAACTGTTAATCACTGGACAAGTAATGTCCTGGGTCCCAGGTTCGAACGCTGCTACGGTAGATGGTGGAATTTGAATTCAATAAAAAAGTTTGGAATTAAGAACTAATGACGACCATGAATCCATTGCTGATTATTGGGAAAAATTCATCTGGTTACCTAATGTCCTTTAGGGAAGGAAACTGCCATCCTTCCCTGGTCTGGCCTACATGTGACTCCAGACCCACAGCAATGTGGCTGACTCTTAACTGCCCTCTGGGTAATTAGGGATGGGAAATAAATGTGTGGCCTAGCTAGTGATGCCCTCATCCCATAAATGAATTTAAAAAGAAAAGGCAGAATCAATCAACAGACTCCAGAAAGAAATCAATATGTTTCTGATAAAAAGTGGGATAAAGGACTATGGGAAACAGGCAGGAAGTAGAGATCAGAGTAAGATCAGCGATGATCATGGTAAATGTTGGAGCAGGCTTGAAGGGCCAAATTACCTACTGCCCCTTTTAATTCCTATGGTCCATCAGTTGGATTTTAAAAAGGGAATTCGAATGACGAAATGCATTTTTACATCATTTAGATTTGAGAAACAAGGTAAAAAGTTAAGGCTCATCATACAAAGCACCTTCAAGATTGAAAGGACCAAGAGATAAATTAAGAACTGGTAATTTGTTGACACAAAGCCTGGCTTTTTAAAAACGGACCATCATTAGATGAAGGAAATATGAGGGATTTATTTATGTAAAATTATCTGATCAGAATTTCCCAGTGAAATTTCACCTCTTTCTTCGATTGGGCTGTGGGGAAATGGGATGTTTACTTCATTTTCTTACCGAGAATGAAGTAAATAGGAACAGAATTAAATAGCCAATGGCTTTACAGGGGCTTTGAAATGGTTTTGCTTTTCTGTCTTTTAAATGATTATAATGTTGTGCGATTCTATGCTATTTAACATTTCTAATAACATTTACAGAATGAATTCTACAGAACAGATGGATACGTGCTGCTGTCAACATTTTATCTCCAAGTGCTTAAGGGGATGAAATTATAGAAAAGGCAGATACTGCATTTGTCACTAATCAGCCTGATTTTGTTTGCATTCTGTTTCTGTTGCTCATGTTTGGATATTTCTTCATTCTCTATCTTATCTAACATATAGCGCAGGAAAGGACGTTACCAAGCCTAAGGCTGACAAGGGAAAAAAAGAAAGCAAAGAAAAGTAGGTACCTGTAAAAGATGTGTATAAAATTAATAACAATGATTCCTGCAGCCACAAATGTTCAAAACAATGGAACAGTGACAAAACACAAACTGGAATGCTGCTGAGCAATGTTAGTAAAATTATTCTCATGAAATAGTTTAAAGATTGCTATTCCCACATCAGTGTTAGTGACTAGCAATAATTAACGTTAAATCTGCCGATGACAATAAGCAATTATGAATATACAAAATGTATTTGAACTGTGTGTTAATTTCTGCCCTGCTGCACCTGCATTTCCAGAAGGGGCAATAAAATAGCTCACACATCAGCTGCAGTGTGTTGACCCAGGTTCAAAGGCTGTCCATGGGACAGTGACAGGATTCACTCGGCCCTTTTCAATCCCTCTAATCAGGAGAAAGTGGATGAAGGGTGCAGTGTTAAACTACAACAAGTCCTCACTTAATAAAAGTAATACATGAAAAACTGTGCACTTCCTTTTTAGTGTGTGATAAACCTAAACCACTTGGATTCACGTCAACCGAATTCAATTCTCATCGACAATTAGCGCATCATCATTGGTGGTTCCTCGCAGATGAGGATGACTCTCTTCCACTCTCAGGGTGAGTCTGTGGGTGGCTTTACAGTCCAATGTGGCTACCGCAGGCTCTGTTACATAATCGAAAATTGTAGCTCAGGTTGTGGATGCAGTTGTTCATTAACTCGCTGAGCAGGTTGAGCAGGTTGTCCTGTGGTGTGCAGATGTTTCGTTGCCTCTCTAGGCAACATCATCATCAAAGCATTGGTGTTCTGCTTCCTTCTGGATTTATATGATACTCTGATGTGATGGTCTCAACCAGAACTGGTTCTCAACACGGGACTCCATTAACAAACAATTAGAAATAGACCCTGTATACCGACCGCTGCTAAAATAACAGAATCGGAAGTGACAATTGCACGAGGATCATATAAGTCCAGAAGGAAGCAGAACACCAACACTTCAATTAGAGCTCGCACTAATGATGTTGCCTAGAGGGATAACGAAACATCTGCACACCACAGAATAACCAGCTCGGCGAGTTAATGAACAGCCACTCTGCACTGTTTGTGAATTTGTAGTTTTCATACAGTCCACATGCTTGTTCAGGACAATCGCACCTACCCGAACTTTATATGTCACTGGACCTGACCTTGCGTCGACCATGCCCCTTAGCCATGTCAGGCCATCCTCATGGCTCCTACACCAAACATTGTCCCCTGAAGCAAACTGTCTCTCTCACTTAGCAGGGTCTTGTATCTGGCATTGGTGTTCCTGATACCATTTCACCCTCTTTCTACATCCCCTCCCCAAGTCTGGGAAGATCAGATTTAACCTGGTGCAGTGTCTCCTCCCCATTAGCAACTCTGCCAGAGCTATCCCTGTATTTACATGAGAGGTTGTGCTATAATTGAGTACGAACCAGGACAGTTTGGTATCTAGAGAAGCTGTAACAATAACAGGTGGGAAAACACAACGGCGCTTCATCGGAGGCTGCACTGATGATGTTACCCAGCAGGGTATTGAAACGTCTGCGGAAAAACAAACTAGCTCGGTGAGCCAACCAACCTCAACATTCACAACCCGAGCTACAAGTCTACACTAAAACCTTAGAGCTGTAACTGTTTCTTTAAGCCTACCTTCAAAGTTTGGAATGTTCTTTTTACCAGGCCCTTAGGTGAGGGATGGTATTGAGCTGTCCTTCTATGACGAATGCCATTCAACTTTAGGAAATAATCAAACTCCCTGCTGGTAAATGATGGCCCATTTTCTGCGACCAACACTTCCAGGAGACCATGTATCGCAAAAGATACGCGTAGCTTTTCTATTGTCGTCCCCGTATTTGACAAATGAACTCTATAAATGTCCAACCTCTTTGGGCTTCCACAATGACTAAGAGCATTGAGCTCCTGAAAGGACCTGCATTGTCAACATGTAACTGAGCCCAGGGTTTACCCGGCCATTCCCATGAATGCAGGGGAGCTGCTGGTGGTAATTTTTGTCCTTGTTGGCACTCTGGGCACTGCCCCACCAACACGTCTATCTCTGCGTTCAAACCTGACCACCAGACATAACTTCTCAAATAATGCTTCATTTAAGCTCCAATAACCGAGAAAGTTACAGGTCCACAAGCTTTTAGGAGAATTGCTTGTTGGGGCAAATGAAAAGCCATGTCATTTGCCTGGAAAAAATAATGTGTTTGTTTGACATACTGGGCCCAGTCATCGATGGCAGAATCAAATAAGTCAAGCTTCCCAAATTACAACCTGATGCCAGAAATGCTTACCCCAACCTAAATGACTGTTATAAGTGAATTTCTTCAGGAGTGTGCTTTTAAAGTGTGTCACTAAACACCGTGAAAAAAGGGAAATCTATATTTGACCAGCTTTAATTATTTACAATCAGCCATCAATTAAGAATGTAGCTAGAATTCAATAAATAATAAATACATAGAAATGAAAATCCTAAGTCACCTAAAACTGCATTTTAGTTTAAAGTATCTTAAAATGTACTGTCTTAAGCAATTTCTGTGAAAGAAATAAGAATAAATGGGGACAGTGGGTGAATTGAAGGCAAGGAATTATTTGACATGCAATTTTATTATCTACTATAAAATGGCATTTAATACAAACTGTTTAAATTGAAAGAAGTGTAAGCAGTTTGGTTGGATTTCATCATATTGCTGAAGTTATATGGTTGGAAGTGGTTTTTGGTGGTGTTTAATTGGGTTTTGTGGATTATTTGAGCCATGAGATTGTATGTGTCACTGTTGCCCTTGAAATGGAAGATGGTGCCAGGGTGAATCAATGATCTAAGCATTCTTTTCAGAGTCTCAGGTTCTCGCCATCTCATGTAACATTCATCAGGTGTCCTCTCGCCGCAGCACCGTCTCTCGACTCTGTCCCAATTAAAGAGTTTTCTTTAAAAAAATCTTCCATTTGTTGTTTTCTCCTTCTTTTTAAATGTCATCAATATCGCCTCCAAGATGGGTTTGAAAATTAGTAACAGGAGCAATATATCCTGAAGAGTTTCTTTTTTTTTCACTGTTTCAATTGGAAATTTTGACGGGTGCGAGAAATTCAAAGTGAAGAAGCAAGAATTTTTTATGGTATGTAACATTCACGCATTTCAGAAAGTAGACACCAGTATCTAAAATTATCTTAAAGCATTCTTTTCAGAAAATATATTTTTTAAATTAAAAATAGGCTATTTAACTTTCTTGAGGATAAAGTAACTATTAATATCGGACGTACTGAATCCAATCAAAGAGAACATACGTTGAGGTAATTCTATGAAACACAGAAATTAAGAATATTCTGGTGTGTTTATGACTTTTGAACCATGAGTAAGTATGTGTACATTTCTAAAATTGAAAAAGTTCAGTCAATGTGCCTGCGGTTTGCAAAATTGAATAGCGTTGTACTTATTTTTGTCAACAATTTGCATTTGTGACAAATGGGTTAGACATAATATTGATGTAAAAGAAAAATTCAGACTTCATTTAATGACCAAGTTCATAAAACGATAAGTGCTATCAGATCTACTTCAAATTAGGCTGCATTTCACAAATAACTTAATGAAAAGACTCGAGCAAAATTGATCTGTTGAGGAATTTATTTTATTACTCTTCTCATTTGAGCTACCACTGAGGGATTTGTTGTCCTTTTAAGCAGTGTATTCAATGAACAACTTTTAATTAAAATCTATATTTTAATACATTGTGAAATTGATTTGATATATTCAGATGCTACAAAGGCTTCAAATGAAAATTGAGTGGAAATATTCATAGGATTGCATAAGCACTAGAAATGGTTAGGCAAACAATTAAAATATTACACAATCAAAATACTGAGGATTCTGAGGATTCTCAAAATCTGAAATAAAAGTAGAAAGTGCTGGAAAAAACTGAGAGATCTGACAACATCTGTGAAGAGAGAAATAGAATTAACATTTTGAATCCAGTATGACTCTTATTTAGAACTATATAAAGTTTTGAGGATTAAAGTGTTAGTTACTTAGCAATGATAGAATTAATGAATGAATGTTAATGAAAGTTAATCTTATAACTGAGAAATCAGTAACACAAACTGTTTAAAATTAATTATCCAAAAGTATCACAGTTTGGAAATTTTCTTTAAAATACCTGTATTTGGTTGACAGAAAGTATAATATCCTATCACCTTGGGGGGGGAAAAACAGAAACATTCTGGGTTTTTTTTTGCAGTAAATAGTGGCAGGGAATTGTTTTGCTTCAAAGGAAGGGAAGTCAAAAGATAAATAAGAAAAAAATGAAGTTAATAGGAGGGGTTGCATTTATGTTAAATACACTACGATAACAGCTTCCACGATGGTGATGAATATCCCGAGCCAGGAGCCCCAACCTGAGAGATTCTGAAGAAGGGTTTCTGGACCTGAAATGTTATCTCTGTTTTTTCTCGACACAGATGATGCCAGACCTGCTGAGTTTCTCCAGCAATTTCCTATTTTTGTTTCTGAGAGGCTTTCTAACTGACAGTTATTGTTCAATTTATTTTAGTTTCCATGTTATACTTCTGCCATTTAATATTTTGGAATGCTGTTTCATAGGATTTTAATCCGTAACACACCTCATTGACAAATTACAAAGATACTTTTTTTTAAGCAAAACATCAAAATTGAGATGGTTAGAGAAATGAGATTCTGAAAAGTTTTCTTGTCACTGGCCATTGTTGTCTCTGTTGTAATTGGTTTACATGATGTTTTTATTTATCCATTCCCTTAAATATAATTAACAAAAATACGAACAATATTTTTGATATTTATTAAGATTACCTTTATTGTACTGTTAGAAGCAGATAAAATGTGATTGAACAATTTACCAAAGTAAAATCTGGAACACTTGAAATGATTGTTGTTTTCTATTCGAATGCTCCAGATCGAGTGTTATGGGTTAATATTATCCTATGTGATGAGAATGAATTAAACATGGGATTAAGGGGCATTATCCCACTTTCGGATTTGATGCTGTACTAACACACCCAATGGCATTTAACCCCTTGAGGATAGTGAAGCCTTTGTCACACACAATAGAACGCCTTGGTAAAATGAAAATGTTCAGGTCTGACGATGTCAATCAGATCCTGATGCAATTTTAACTTTACATTGTGAGGCCAGCATCCTCATGCCAGACTCACCAGAGAGCCACACTGTGACAGAGAAACTACCCAATAAAGCACTAAAAGGGTGAGTCGTTTTTAAGATGGTTTCCTTGTACAGCTTGTTCACGAGTAACCTGAGTATCCCTCCATTACTGTCCCACAACATCTTTCTGAACAGCCGAGCATTGTTCCTGTAGTTTCCCATCCTGATCTCCTTTCTGGAACTTCCAAACAGCGTTCATGTTGGAGGTTTTGATGGTGGTCAAGCTTTGTATTTAAATGATGCATGAGAACCGGAATGGCCTGGATCTTGCAGCAATAACAAGCTTGAGGATTGTTCCATCCATCCCCCTCACTCCCAGTTAAACTCCAGATTCAATTCGTGAAAATATTTTTCCTGGTGTTCAGTTAGGAATTCACTCTGTGGATGCCGCACACTGTGTGTTTTGAGGAAAGGAGAACTCACTGAGCAATGATGATGCATATGTTAAGTGCATAGTTCCCTCAGACTGGATGGCATGATTTGGACCATTTCCCAACATCCTATTAGAAGGCTCATCCCAACTTCCAGGGACATCCAGCTCAATTTTGTAGATGAACTTGGGACCACCTACTCTTCATCCCTATCACTCTTCAATATCCCATGCCATCACTCTAAATCACTCGTTCTGCAGTGACCCCTCTATGGCACTCGTGCCTATGCACCCCCTCCTGATCTGCTCAGTCCCCAATAGCCACTCACTTAGTATCAACCGTGTGCCTTGAACACAATAAAGTGTCTTCAAGATGTTTACAAAACTGTAAAACGATGATTAAAAATTCATTATCCTATTAGGTAGTCATAAGATCACCAAACTAAGCAAATACATAATTCTTTTTACGAGCTGTTTCAACAATCCCTGCTAAACTGAACTATTAGTGGGAATGGATCTCAGCCAAGCATGCAAAATGAAATTTGATTGACTGTATCAGCAACTCCTGATGAGCTGAACCTGTTAGTGCAGTTTAGAATTTAGCAGGCATATATAATGGAATTGCATTGCACAGATGAATAAACCAAGCCTCCAGAGCTGAATACATGAAAACCTTTGAAGTTATTGAATCAACTCATCCCCATCTCTTCAATCTTAAAAACAGATGAACAGATGTCCAAATTATAATGTCTTTGCAAATTACAAAAAGAAACTTACCTTTTAATGTCCTTGCAACCGAAATAATCGGATTATTTTTAAAGCTTCTCTGAAAACCTCAAAAGAAACAAGTATCGAATGATCCTAATGGTAATGAATCCTCCTGTAACAGTTTGGTCAATTTTGGGCCTTCTAGTTTGTGCTACTTTGAGAAACACAAACATTGCAGAAGTTTGAGTGACCCTGTGTGAAAGTTATGCTCAGAATTCTGTGATCTTCTGTCTGGTGACACTAACTTAACTGAATTGTGCTGAAAAACCCAATGTCATCAAACAGAAATGCAGGACCAGGTTGAACGCATCATGCCATGCAATCTACTGAATGTAATTAAAATGCACGTTATAATTGCTTATTTTACAGAACAAGTGGAAAAGGAGTCTTCTCAGGAATGAAACTTGGAAAGGCACGTCATGCTAAAGATGATCATAAGAAGAGTCATGGAGGTATGTTTCGACCTAAAGTTTAATTTCTCTTCCACACCGAATTGACACAATTCCATCAAAAAATTCAGTCCAGCTTTTGTTGCTTTTTAATAAAAGAGCTGACCTTTTAAGGAGTGTACTGCAGCAAGTTGTTTGTAAACTACTAACAGTGACTCACATGAGGAGTGCGAGATATGAAAAATGCATATATAAGCCAAAACAAATCTCTATAAATCTACAAACTGAGCTATTATCACCTCTGTTGAAGATTTTACATAAAATGTACTTTATACTGTTCTATATGAATAAGCAACAGTCCCACACTGAATCGTACCACTCAATAGGGATTCGTGAAGAGAAAATTGAAGTAACTTTTTTCAATGATTATGTTGTAAAACATAAGAATGCCTTTATGAAAACTTTAAGGACAAACAGTTTGTTTGTATCAGTCAACATACCTGTACTTACAGCAAACCAGGCTCTCAGGGCTAGTCCAAGGGCAGAATTTTCCACTCCCTTGAGCAGTGTGGGCAATGTCACCAAGTATCAGAAAATATTGCTTAAAAAATCTCAATGTTTAGGAAAAAAAAAGCTCTAACTTTCCCCCTCTGTGGTTTAAATGGCATTTTCAGAATCCCACCAATAAGTGGCATTACCTCATTTCCATCGGTCTGCATCTCATTAATAGCCCTTTCACACCTTCCCTTACACCAATATTATGTCTCGCTTTCTCCACTATTAACAACCCTTTGCCTTTTTTATACATTGGCCCTGTACATTAATTGCTCTGTTTTCTCTGCCTCTGTCAAAAGTCAATATATAAAAACATTTTCCAACACCTTTCAGTTCTGAGGAACAGCCATATCAATTTCAAAACATTAACTCTGTTTCTCTCTCCATAGATGCTGCCAGAAAAAAATCACCACCAAATCACCTAATTAACTAATTAAACAAATAATAAGCACGGCCCATTCAGCTTCTTTTTGTTTGGCAGAGTTAAGAGAGTGGCGGTCCTGCGAGCATGAAGTAGCAGAGAGAAGATGATGGCACTTTAGCGATAAGGAGCATAGAAGCTCTATGATCCTCTTCCTGCACTGCTGGCCATTGTGTTTCATCCACAACACTGCACTGACCGAGGACTCTCTCTGAGTCCAGGTTGGCTGGGTCTGTCGATGTGGCAGCCTTTGCCAGTCAGCAGGATCCAGCACTGCCCGTGACTCCACCACTTGCTCACGTCTCCACCAGCATCTCCAGGCCCTGACAGTGAACCAAGGAACTAACTTGCGTTTCGGGGCCACTTCCTTTGGGATAACAGTGTAGTGCTGTGGCACAAACATTGCACGAAGACCTGGCAGGGGTGAGCTCATCTTCCTCACTTGCTGCACAGTTTCATGAGGCGGGGCACCAAAGATGCCAGTTTCATAACTAACAAAATGAAGATTGGAGGATTGCATGAGAAAAGTTTGCTTGACTGATTGCCAGGAGTCTCACTCAAAAAAAAAAAACTGGGAAAATTCAGCCCAAAATTAGCCTTCAAACTGCACGTGGAATGCTAAATGTGAAAGTAATCTAGTTTGAAAAGCAAATCTACTGCCAGCCTGGTAGTCATCGGATAGCACGACAATCAAGTTACTGAGTAATCAAAGCAATCAACCAGTCTGCAGCAGACCAAGTGATGAAATGAAATGTATCTCAGTAGTACAAAGCTTTAGAAACCATGGGTCCAATGTCACCTCTTCTACTTACAAAGCCCTATTTCTATACTGGATCCCAAATACCATTTTCTGAAAAAAAAATCTAATTCTCAGATGAATGAACCATTCCTTTTCCATCAAGTTGCCTGTTAACCTAAAGGGTAGTCAGTTGCTGTTATTTAAATCGATACGTTAGTTTGGTTGACACCTTGATTTTTTTTTCACTTCAGTATTTTGCTACATCTTCAGTTTGCTTCATACCTAACAATGTCATCATTCGGTGAGCAATAAAGAAAACACACTCACCCCGCAACCCCACCAAAACCAAAATATATTCTTCGAGCCAAGTCCGTTTCTGGGCCATTATGGATGGCCATACTTTTATTGATACAGAGCCACTTATCAGTCATTAAGTATTTAGTACAAGGAATATATGTCCCACTATTTCTCCCTTCCTGATTTCATAACTTCTCCAGTTAAATCTTATCATTGACATCTAATATGGCATAAAAATATGCTGACATTACATTAGAAAGTAAATCTATATTTTCATAATTTTAAAGTCCAATTAACTCAATGCCTTTGTGTTTAATATCTTAATAATCCAATATTATGTTTTAATTGAAAGATGTTTTCATGTCTTTTTAAATATGGTCAGAGGAAACTGAGATGATATGATTAATGTTCTGTACTCCACAGTTTGGAAACCAGTAATAACACTTTTTTTCCAAATAAACACACTTTTATTTTGTTTTGTCCTGATGAAGGATCTAGAATCAAAACGTTGACTCTCCTGCTCCTCTGATGCTGCCTGACCTGCTGTGTTCCTCCAGATCCACACTTTATTGACTCTGACTCCAGCATCTGCAGTTCTTGCTATCTTTATACCGGAGGAAAATATTGGAGGATGATCTCAGGGAAGGGAGTGTTGAGTTTTGAAGCCAAATTGCTATTTAAGATGGACGATGCCTCTTCCTTTTTAAAAGTATTAAGGTAGATAAGTTCCCAGGTACTGATTGGATCCATCCCAGAATATTGAGGGAGTCAAGAGAAAAAATTGCCACAGCATTGACAGACATCTTTCTATCCTCTTTGATCACAGGTCAGGTCCCAGAGGACTGGAGAATAGCTAATGTTGTCCCATTGTTTAAGAAGGGTAGCAGGGATAATTCTGGAAATTACAGACTGAGAGTCTCGCATCAATGTTTGGGAAATTATTAGAAACGATTCTCAGGGACGAGATCTATATGAATTTAGAAGAAAATGGACTTATTAGCAATAGACAGCATGGTTTTGTTGGGGGTGGGGAGGGGTTTGTACCTCACTAACTTGGTTGATTTTTTTGTGGAGGTGACAAAGAGGATTGATGAGGGAAAAGTGGTTGATGTTATCTATATGGATTTTAATCCGGACAAATATGAGGTGATGCATTTTGGAAGGTCGGGTGCAGGTGGAAATTATACAGTGAATGGCAGAGCCCTTAGGAGTATTGATAAGCAGAGGGATCTGGGTGTGCAGGTCCACAGATCATTGAAGGTGGCTTCGCAGGTAGATAAGGTAGTAAAAAAGGCCTATGGCATGCTTGCCTTCATCGGAAGGGGCATTGAGTATAAGGATAGACAAGTTATGCTGCAGCTTTATAGAACTTTAGTTAGGCCATACATGGAGAGGGTACAGAAAAGGTTTATTAGGATGTTGCCTGGTACAGGGGATTGTAGCTATGAAGAAAGGTTGAAAAGACTGGGTTTGTTTTCACTGGAACGCAGGAGGTTGAGGTGTGATCTAATGGAACTTTATAAGATTGTGAATGGCATGGATAGAGTGGAAAATATAAAGTTCTTTCCCAAGGTGGAGGGGTCAATTACTAGGTGACACAAGTTCAAGGTGCCGGAGGGGATGTTTAAAAGAGATGTGCGAGGCAGGTTTTTCACACAAAGGGTGCTGAGTACCTGGAACATGCTGTCAGAGGAGGTGGCAGAAGCAGACACAATAACAGCATTCAAGAAGCACCTGGACGAATACATGAATAGGAAGGGAACAGAGGGATGTGGATCCTGTCAGGGAAGGGCAAAATATGGCAGCGCAGGCTTGGAGGACCAAAGGGCCTGTTCCTGTATTGTATTGTTCTTTGTTCTTAACAGAATAATAGATCCAGTAACTAATTACTAATTAACTGTTGTAATACAGTAACTTCCCATGAACACTCTTGGCAAAAGGCAGATTCAGAAAATAGATTTTGTCTCAAATGCAAAACCCCCAGCTTTTGGTTGTAATCATGAGAAGGAAAAATAGCATCCACTTCTTCAAGTTCCAACAGCAACTGCTGAAAGCTAACCCTAAAATCCCTGGTTGTGTGAGTGGGAGTTCGACCACACCCACTCAGGCTGCTTCTATTGTTCCAGCTTTTAAAAAGAAACACCCAAGGCCTCAAAGTTTATCTTCTCCATAAACTGCTCGATACCTGTCCCCCAGTCTCTCTCTGTTTTAGAGAAAAGGGCAAAATAACTTCTTAAAGACACAGCATCACCACAATGTACTTTAGTTCAGTTGCATATTGTCATCCCCCAGTTTTGTATTTTTACTGGTCCTCTTGTTTATATCTGTGACTCTGTTCATAATTACAAGCCTGGATCCGCTGACAACAGAACAGAGCTGGCTTTAATTGCCAGACTAGGCTGAGTGTCTCAACTATCACACAATCTCTAAATCCCTAAAATACCTGTTCCATTCCACACTCCACCCTGTTGCTGTTACCTACTGTCCTTCTGGGTATGTTTTTTACTGCATTGCTGAGTTCGCTGCTTTACCCTACTGCTCAGTTCAGACCTGGGCAGAAATCTAATGGATCAAATCTAATTTCATCGCTGATTTCTGAATTTTACTGTGACCCTCCCATTTTACAATTTTTTTTAATTAAGACCATACTCTGTTCTGAACTAGTTCTGTCTTAAGAGTTGACATTTCTGCAGGATCAGTTTACATTACTCTCCTGGGCCCTTTCACTCTACACTGTAGAAGTAGCTGCCATGCTATAAAATATAGGAGCAGTATTAGGCCATTCAGCCCATCGAGTCTGCTCTGCCTTTCGATCATGTCTGATGTGTTAATCAATCCCATTTCCTGCTTTCTTCCCAAAACCTTTGACATCCCTTTACTCATCAAGAACCTAACTATCTCTGTCTTAAATACACTCAATGACTTAGTCTCCACAGCCTTTTGTGATAATGAGTTCCACAGATTCACCACCCTCTGTCTGATGAAAGTCTTCCTCATCTCAGTTCTGAAGGGTTGTACCTTCACTCTGAGGTTGTAGTGTTTAGCAGCATCTCAAATCACCCTCTGTTCCTCAACTGGTTTCTGAGTCTGACCAAACTTTGCAAATAGTGTCACGAGACTCATGTAACTTTGATAGAAGTCGAAGGTAATTGAATTCCCTCGACTGGAAACAAAATCTGTCAGGCGATGTGAGGAGTTCTGGATCCATTTGATTAAACGGTAACTGGTTTGATTCTTCCAGATGAACCTGCAGTCCTGGAAACAGAAGACCTGGATAGAAAAGCCATGCGTCTTGGTGGGGGTTTGGATCCTGACACCATCTCACTGGCTTCTGTCACTGCAGTCACCACCAATGTCTCAAACAAAAGGTAATAGCTCACACTCACTCAACAATATGCTTTTAGTGTCAGATTAAAGATTAATTTAGAGATGTATTTGCTCTGATTATAATTAAACATGCACTCGTATTAAAATAAGACACAGCAGTGAAATATACCAGTCCCACAACAATGTTACAGTCTCACAAGCAGTGATCAGGGAAATCACAAACTTCAGCCTCTTGATAAACCACTTAGGAATAGGAGTAGGCCGTTCAGCCCCTTGAGTCTGTTCTACCATTCAATTATATCATGGCCGAACAGTAGTCCAATTCCAAATAAAAACCAAAAGAACTGCGGATGCTGTAAATCAGGAGCAAAAACAAAGTTGCTGGAAAAGCTCAGCAGGTCTGGCAGCATCTGTGGAGGAGAAAACAGAGTTAACCTTTCGGGTCCGGTGACCCTTCCTCAGAACTGATGGTGGCTGGGAAAACGTCAGTTTATATGCAGAAAATAGGGAGGTGGGTGGGGTAGGGAGTAAACGATAGGATAGAGCCCAAAGAGAGAGAAAGACAGTTGGACAGACAAAGGAGTTGCTAACGATCAGGCTGGGAGGGTGAAGAGTTGTTAATGGGGACTGTTAGTGACTAACAACAGGGGGTGTGTAGTGGCAGGCTATGTGGTAACAAGGCCTGGAGTATGGGGTGGGGGTCTGGGACATGGGAGAGTTTAGGCCCTAAAATTATTGAACTCAATATTGAGTCCGGAGGGCTGTAGTGTCCCCTTTTGGAAAATGAGGTGTTGTTCCTCCAGCTTCTGTTGGGCTTCACTGGAACACTGCAGCAAGCCAGAGACAGAGATGTTGGCCAGGGAGCAGGGTGGTGCATTGAAGTGGCAGGCAACAGGTAGTTCAGGGTCTTTTTTGCTAGCAGAATGTAGATGTTCTGCGAAGCGGTCGCCAAGTCTACACTTCGTTTCCCCAATGTAGAGGAGACCACATTGTGAGCAGTGAATGCAGTAGACTAGATTCTTGGAAGTGCAGGTGAAGTGTTGCTTCACCTGGAAGGTATGTTTGGGGAGGGAGGAGGTAAATGCGCAAGTGTTGCACCTTCGCCGGTTACAGGGGAAGGTGCCGTAGGGCTGTGGGGAGGTGTTGGGGGTGAAGGAAGTATGGACTAGGGTGTCCCAGAGGGAACGTCCCCTGCGGAAAGCAGACAAGGGAGGGGAGAGGAATATGTGTCTGGTGGTGGCATCTTGTTGGAGGTGGTGGAAATGGCGTCTGATGATCCTTATTGAGTTCAATAATTTTAGGGCCTAAACTCTCCCATGTCCTAGCCCCCCATCCCACATAGCCTGCCATTACACACCCCCTGTTGTTAGTCACTAACAGTCCCCATTAACAACTATTCACCCTCCCAGCCTGATCGTTAGCAACTTCTTTGTCTGTCCAACTGTCTTTCTCTCTCTTTGGGCTCTATCGTATCGTTTACTCCCTACCCCACCCACCTCCCTATTTTCTGCATATAAACTGACGTTTTCCCAGCCACCATCAGTTCTGAGGAAGGGTTACCGGACCCGAAACGTTAACTCTGTTTTCTCCTCCACAGGTGCTGCCAGACCTGCTAAGCTTTTCCAGCAACTTTGTTTTTGTGTCTAATTCCTAATTCAAATAGCTGCCTTTGGCCATATCCCTTAATATCTTTGCTGAGAAAAACTTTATCTCAGATTTAAAATTAACTGATCCAGCATCCACTGCAGTTTGTGGAAGAGAGTTGCAAACATCTACCACCCTTTGTGTGTCCTCACATCTCTCCTAAGTGGTCTGGCCTTAATTCTCAGACTATGTCCTCTAAATCTAGAATCCCCAGCCAGTGGAAATAGCTTATCTTTAACTATTCTGTCCTTTCTTGTTAATATAGTGAAGACTTCAATGAGATCACCCCTTAACATTTTCAATTCTAGATAAAACAGGCCTAATTTGTATAAGCTCTCCTCATAACTTAACCTGCGAAGCCCAGATATCAGGTTGCTTTCAAGATTTGGCAAACCACATCCTGTGGAGGTGGCTGGTCTATTCCAATGAAATGTAAGGATTGACATTCGTCATCCAATATACTAATGCTGAATAGGTTTTGTTTATTTTGTTCTGTTTTTAATCAGGCCCAGCAGCATCTGTTATGTCTGTTATATCTGTTACTACAGCCACATCACCTTTCTTAGTTACTACAGCCACATCACCTTTCTTAGTACCTGCCTACGGAACCAGATCACCCCCAATGGACTACAGTCCACATTCAGGCCTTCCCAATTTGGCCCCAACCGTGACAATGTCTACATTCATAGCATTGAGATCCTTCAGAAGCGTTTCTCCCTGCGACTCCTGAAACACACACTTGCAGCAATACGCCGGCATCTCCGGGCACTACAATCAAGCCTACCCCAGCTCAGAGCCTCCCTCTCCCAGACCTGCAAAGTCCCCGCCTCCCTTACCTGTTCTTCCTCCCACCTATTCCCTCCTCCTACCTCAAGCCGCACCCCCCATCTCCTACCTACTAACCTCATCCCGCCCCCTTGACCTGTCCGTCCTCCCTGGACTGACCTATCTCCTCCCTACCTCCCCACCTGCACTCACCTTTACTGGCTCCATCCCAGCCTCTTTGACCTGTTTGTTTCTTCTCCACCTATCCTCTCCTCTATCCATCTTCTATCCGCCTCCCCCTCTCTCCCTATTTATTTCAGAACCCCCTTCCCCTCCCCCATTTCTGTTGAAGGGTCTAGGCCCGAAACGTCAGCCTTCCTGCTCCTATGATGCTGCTTGGCCTGCTGTATTCATCCAGCCCTGCACCTTGTTGTCTCAGCATCTGATATGTGCCATGTTCCCAGAAATGATCTACAAGTATCGATGGTCCTATTGCACTTACGAGCCAAATCATTCAATGCAAATGGGGCCTGGTCTCAAAATCCAAGAGCGTCGCAACCAATCAGTGCCCACTTAAAATAAATGTTTCATGGGAGGGGGCTCTTGTGAAGTGGTAATGTCCCTATGTGTGGACCAGGCAGCCTGGTTTCAAGTCTCATACTCCAGAGATGTGTCACAGCATCTCTGAATAGGATGATTGCAGATATCTAGATGGTGCACAGGAGCACAGTTGTCAAATTAGGTCCATTTTCTCAAAATTCCAATTTTGTCCCTTTATATTTAATATAATTGACTTAGACTTTCTTTATCCCAACATATTTCCACATAAATGTTGTGAGCTGGATACAAAGCTGCTGTCCCTTTTGGTTTTTCACTCTTTTTGCAGATTCTAGAGACGGAAGGGAATGACCAAAGGAAGATGCCAGATAACCTTTTGTATCCATCTCTATGTGCAGGCCAGGGAAATCAGACTTGGACATAGACAAAGAAATCTGAATATGGACAGAGTCAGGCCAGTTCTCTGAGCCCCCTCTGGGTGGACCCTGGTCAGGTGTAGTCTCAATGAATATAATGAGTCAGACCATGAGCTACATATATCCATAAATCCAACCAGGAAATGGGCAAACATGGAATTGCAACCACAAGCTTGGCTAATTGAATGTCTCAGACCCAAATGGACACAGACAGAGAGCCCATTCCCAGCTTCTTGAGATTGCCCTGGACTGCAATTGTAGGAAACTGAGGCAGAGAGCTGGGAATCTCAGTTCCCTGTTGTTTCCATTCCATTCATAGGCCACCACTTGGAGGAAATTCAGTGAATCTCAGGACATTGTAAAGGATAAAGATTCTGAATAATATAGGCCTATGTTCACCTTTTCTTGACATTCTTCCCAAAGAATACATTTTCCTAGGAAATAAAGAGTTAAGAAAAATCAGCACCTATGATTCCACAATGAGTTAGTATCAAAGTGTTGCTGTTCTCTCTGGACAGAGTTAAACAAAAAAATCCCAGGACGGAGATAGCTTGATCAATATTTGTAAAGGTAATTGCAGTATTAAACATTGATATCAGTTGAACCTTACAAGCAACAGCAAGACACAAGCTGCAACATCTATATATACTACATCATAAAATCCCGGATGCCTTTTTCATCTGAAGACTTGACTTCACTAATTCCTTCCTGGAAAGAAAACAGCAACACAACAGAATCTTATTTCACTGAATGAACAATGTTATCATGGCTGTACGAGCCTTGATTCCCAGTGCCTATACCTCCGCTATTGATTTACTGCCTATGAGTGTGTAATCATAGTCATCACTACAGAATGATGCAGGTTAATGCTTTGTGGCTTTGATTATTCATTTTACATCAGTCCATGGATAACTGCTTGGGATGTTGGTTCCTCCAATCATTGAAGCTGTAAAGATCAACACATAAAGAGGTGCTTGCAACTGCTTTGAATTTGGCCATCAGTAAATTAGAAAACAATTTAAGATGCAAAAACTAATCAAAAAGCTTGTCTCATTATTGGTTAGCTGAGATATTCAAAGTCATTGCCTGCTGTGCTTTAAACAACTTCGTACAGCCAGGGTGGCAGTCAGGAGTAACCAGAGAAGAAAAGGATTTTAGTGGAGGAAGCTCAAAGAACCTCAGGCTAATGTGGAAGAGACTCAACCAAAAAATATTTTAACGATGATCTGAACACAATTAGCTGGCTCTCAGCAAAGAACTGAAGTCAGGTCCCAGCAGATGACCTTCTTTAAATGCCCAAAGTATCCACTGCGCACGTATCCATATACTGATTAAATTTCCTGTAATAGCATTTTGAAAGTTGTTTCTTTGAATGGAACATATTTAGTGGGTATTTGTGTTAGAAACATTTTTGTAGAACTGCAACCTGACTTAAAAACTATTACTGCTAGGTAACCTGCTGCGTGACCCATGTGTATTCACATTAAGTATTGGGTACATCACAATAGACCATATTTTACTGTAGGAGAACATCCAACTCCATCTGGTGGTCCCTGCAAACTTCAGCTCACAATATTTTTGCTCACTGGGTCAGTGAGAACAGGTCAGCTCAAGAAACAACAGCTTGAGACCTGAGCATATGGAGAAACAAACTGGAAACTCCTTAATAATTCATGTTGTAGTATTGTGGAATAAACAGTGAGGGATTAACAAGGAGGTTAAATTGGAGCGTAGGGAGTAGAGGGGTGATCTTATATAACAGAAATCCCATTCCCAGCTTTTTGTGATTCCCCTGGACTGCAATTGTAGGAAACTGAGGCAGAGAGCTGGGAATATGAGTTCCCTGTTTGTCTCCATTCCATTCATAGGCCACCACTTGAAGGAAGTTTAGTGAATTGTATGACATTGTAAAGGAGATGGATTCTGAATTATATGGGTTCATAAAATTATGAGGGTATAGATATGGTTAATAGTAGGTATCTTTTCCCTAGGATGGGGAATTTCAAGATTGGGAGAGACAAGAGAGATTTTAAAAAAGACATGAGGCAAATTATTTACTCAGAGGGTGGTTCATGTGTGTAATGAAATGCCTGACGAAGTTACAATGGGCAGAGTTACAAATTTTAAAAGACACAAATAAACAGATGAATAGGAAAGGTTTGGAGTGATATGGACCAGGAGCAGGCAGGTGGGACCAGTTTAGTTTGGGATTATGTTCAGCATTGACTGGTTGGACCGAAAGGCCTGGTTCTGTGCTGTATGACGCTGTTAGGGGCATAGATAGGGTGAATAACAAAGGTTTTTTTCCCTCGGGCAGGGCAATTAAAAACTAAAGACCATAGGTTTAAGGTGAAAGGGGAAAAATTTAGAAGGGATCTGAGAAGCAACTTTTTCACACAGAGGGTGGTTCATATGTAGAATGATCTGCCAGAGGAAGTGATAGATGCAGGTCCAGTTACAACATTTAAAAGACATTTGGACAGGTACCTGAACAGAAAAAGGTTTAGTGGGAGATGGGCCAAATGCAGGCAAATGGCACTACTTTAACTTGGGTAACGTCTTCAGCATGGACGAGTTGGACCAAAGGTTATGTTTCTGTGCTATACAACTCTGAGTGAATTGAGGGTGAACCTGATGTTAATGGTCTCTCATGCCCTATGCTAAGGTAGATGTCAATACACATCCCATAGTTCCTCATGCCCCCCGTCCACCCCAAATCCATGCCAGTGTATCCCTTCTCCCACCCAATTTCTCCAATGCAATGTAAGTAGAGCAAACAACACCATGCACCCTCCCCCCCACACCCCCATTACCCAGTCACAAACTATATACTGTATAGAAGCAATGAACCCAGTACTGGCAGCTGGATCTGTAAATAAAAATCTTTTTTAAAAAATGTTTCATTCATAACTTTTCAGTATGTGAAAAACTCAAGTCTACTACAGAACAGTAAAATAATCAATCATCTAAAATCAAAGCTTCCAAAACTGAAACAGCAAGGCATTAGAAACTACTTAACTATTATGAAATTTACTGAAACTCTTATTCTGAAGATTTAATTGTTCTGAATTTATTCACAGGTCAAAACCTGATATCAAAATGGAACCCAGTGCAGGTAGACCCCAGGACTACCAAGTAAGTTACAGGTGATTTCTTTACAAGAAAGAAAATTGAGTAGCTTGTGGCTGGTTCTAAGGCATGTGAAGATGAATTGTGTACTCTTAATCTAGAGGAAATAGATTATTTAAGCCCATTTATCATACTGAACTTTCTGTAAGAAGCTAAGAATTCAACTGAATCTATGAATATTTGGAATTTGTTCTGAAAAGTGCTATGACAGAGCAACTCGGTGCTCGCAGACACTTTGAGAGAAATGTGAATTATGTAGTCAAGTGCACTTCTTGTCAAATGTGGCATCATCCAAATTTATGCACCTGTCAATCATGCTAAATTATTTTTCCTTATCTCCATAATAATCAATGAAATGCACTTATTCATTTTTAATTTGGTGTATAGTGGTCTACTCACATTATTCAGGACACATTCCAATTGTTTTCTAGAGGGTAAATTTGATGAGGGATGTAGGTCTTCTACCAATAGAGTGGTACAATTTGAATAACTCAGCAATTCTATTGAAATCTAATTTCAAACTTGCTTAAACACCTCACCCTACTGCTGAATTCATGAAACTCCTGCAATTACAGCCTATTGACTGAGGAGGTAAGTGGCCCTTTGTTTAAAAAATCTGTGGCTACTTGGTTGGGAAATTTGTACCCTTCAATTTATGGATCCTTATTCAGCATCCATCAGATCTGAAGATTATGGATTTCATTACTTGTCATCAACCATTCCTATATATTTACCGAAGGAAAGTGTGGCTATTGAATTATAGATTGAGTTTTTTTATTTGGTCCTTTTTCACCCTTTTTAGTTACATGGTGTTACATAGCTTACTTGTGTTGTAGGATTGAGGATGCCTGGAATGTCAATAATATCAATTGTCACAGACCTTGAAGACAGCCACAGCAAGACAAGACCAGTGCTTTTACTTCTGTTCATCCTCAGTCTGATCAATAGCCAGTACAATTTATCTTGCTTGAAACTGATGGATGCAAATTTTCTTTTAATAAAATAGATGAGAATGCAAAGATTACTGATAAATGCAAAGTGTTTCACATTCTGTAAAATCTACTACAGAAGTAGAAAATAATTCAGATAGTATTAGCAAAATGGGGCTGCATGGTGACACTGTGGTTAGCACCAGTGCCTCACAGCGCCAGGAACCCGGGTTCAATTGCAGCCTTGGGCAACCGTCTGTGTGGAGTTTGCACGTTTTCGCTGTGTCTGTATGGGTTTCCTCTGGGTGCTCTGGTTTCCTCCCATAGTCCAAAGATGTGCAGATTAGGTGGGATGCTCTTCAGAGGGTCAGTATGGACTTGATGGGCCAAATGGCCTGCTTCCACACTATAGCGATTCTATGAATCGAGACCCACAAAGTTACTTGGGAGAAATGGATTAGACAATGTAGTGAAGTAATTTTTTGATTAAAGATCACAAAATATTATGACAATTTTTTTGCATTGCATGGATGTGGAGTGGAGGGGTAATATATCATTAAGATAGCTAGTGAGTATGTGCATAACACTTATGTACAATGATCCCAGTCACTTGGAGCTGAGATCAGAATATGTAGGGTTCCAGTGATGTCCTCTGTCTGGTTATAATCACTGAAGATTGTGGATGGTCACTGACATCTTCGATGAACAACTCTGACCCGATCATACTACAAAGGCTATCACTCACAAGGCAGCACTTATTTCTCTAGCGACAGCTGAGTTTTAAAACAAAAAATCGATGTCTGTCTTCCTAAGGCAGAAGAGAAAGGTGAATAATCCCAAGTGTAAGCCAAGGGATGGGAAAGGCTGAGCATTCTGGAAAGGTTATAAAAAAGTAATTTCCTACAACACAGATGGAAGGTAGCTGACAAGACACTGAATTAAATTACATCAAATATTAAATAGCCTAGATCAGGTGTGGACTTACAGCAATTAAGCAGACGAGAAGATCTAGGGATCACAAACCTAAGCTAGTATAAAAAAATTTAACTAAGGTACCACTAAAATAACTCCCTTGAAGCAAATGACTGCAGTTAGATGCTGGACTGGAATCTCCTCTAATGCACGGTGTTGTAGTACAAACCAAGGAGATGTGTCAGAGACATGAGCTTTGGTGCAGTCTCAATTATTATTAATGACCTGACACATTAAGTAATCTTGGAACAGAAAAGCTTAGAACCATAGACTCCTAAAAGGTTTATGGCACGGAATTAGGTCACTTTACCCAGTGTCTCTGAGCCTCTGAGCCACCGAGCCAGCCATGAAATGATCCAGTCAGCCCCATTCCCCTTTTCTAGCATTTGGTCTGTAGCCCTGCAGGTTACTACACTTCAGGTACAGATCCAGACACCTAGAAAATGTTTTGAGGGTCTTGTCTTCACAACCCTTTCAGCCAGTGAGTTCCTGAAACCTACCACCCTCTGGGCAAAATGGGTTTTTCCTTACCTCCGCTCTCCTCTTTCATTGCCAATCCATGCTCCCTAGTCACTGACCTCTGAATAGGTAACCAGGCCCCTCCCATCCAGTTTATCCAGGCCTCTCACAACTTTGTACACTTCAATCAAATTGTCTCTCGGCATCCTGCCTGCCAAGGTGAACAATCCTAGCCTAATCGAAATAAGACAAAGAACTGTGGATACTGGAAATCAGAAACAAAAACAGAAATTGCTGGAGAAACTCCGCAGGTCTGGCAGCATCTGTGGAGAGAAAGCAGAATTAATGTTTCAAATCTTCTTCAGAACTGGTAGCAGCAAGGAAAAGGTGGTACTTATCTTGATGACAGGCTGTGGGTGGGAAGGAGTGAGCAGATAGGTGGAGACTGAGCCCAGGGAGAGAGAGAGAGATAGTGGGGAAGAAATTAGGAAGACAAAGGGATTGTTGATAATACATCAGGGAAGAAGAAAATGTAAATAGGTATTCATGGCGACTATGGGTGAAAATGCAGTGTCTGTGCTAACACACCCATATCATGACAGGACCTGGGGTGTGGGAGTACCTAAGAGACTATCCAATCTAAGCCTATCTCACCCAATCCAATCTTCCCTCATAGCTGCATTTTTCCAGTCTTTGCAACAATCTTGTAAATCTCCTCTGTACCCTATCTAGTGTAATTCCATCTTTTCCATAATGAGGTGACCAGAACTGTGGACAGGACCAGTGTTGTGGACTAACTCATGTTTATACAGTTCCAGCATAACCATCCTGCTCTTATGTTCTACACCAGTGCGATTAGGGAATAGGAATCCAAATGAATTCACAATCACCTTGTCAACCTCTCTGCTACCTTCAGCAATTTGTGGACATTCACTCCAATGTCCCTGATTTCCCACCACTGAAAACGCACACTTAAACTTGCAGACTCCCAACCTGTAACCAGCCTCTACACTGCGTAGAGATCATCCCAGTTCACCTTGATGTCTCACTCACAAGAATATTCTCAGAGTTGGGAATTCACCAGTTGACTTTTGACAAGAGTATTCATTTATATGTTAGAACATACAGCTAACGAACAATATATCCAGACCTGCCAATTGATACACCTTTTTAATCAGCTCTGACATAAAGAACACATGGAACATGTTCTCTCCACACACGCTAACTGATCTGCTGACTATTTGTAGCATCTGCTGTTTTACTTCCCAATTTCCCATATCAACGTGATTTGCTTATTAATTTACTTATCGTTAGCATTAACGTTACATTCCGAAGTAAGGAACTACTAAATGGCTTTTCTACTGAAAATCCTCAAAATTGAGAGTTCCAGGATTGGTGTGAGAGAAATGGGTTTAAATTCATGAGGCACTAGTGCCAGCAGTGGGGAAAGAGAGAGCAGGACCACTGGATCACATTTTACCCGAACTGTATCGGGACCAATGTCCTAGCATATGGTATCACTAAGGCTGGAAAGAGGGCTTTAAAATAAATGCCAGGGGGGAAGGGACAGTTCATACAAGAAGAGATTTTGAAAGCTAAAGGGGAATGACAAGGTAATGGTGCAGCCTATTGATGCAGGTAATGACAACAAGACTCCAAAGAAGAGAAGAGGCTACAATCATAAGAGCACGCCAACAAACAAGGTCAAAGTAAGGAAAATGGTAAAGAGGTGGAATTAAATGCTCTTTATCCGAATGCATACAGTATATTGTAACAAGATAGTTGATTTGATGGCACAAATAGAAAGAAATGGATATGATATGATGGCTATTATGGTGCAGTGACCATGGCCTGGAACTGAATATTGTGGAAATTTGACATTTCAGAATGATTAGAAGGAATGATGGTGGCATTGCTCAGTTAATCAATGATGAAATCAGTACAGTAGTTCGAAATTATCTTGGTTTGGAGGCCCAAAATGTAGAATTGGTTTGGATGGATGTAAGAAATAGCAAGGGGAAGAAGTCACTGCTGGGAGTTTTACATGGTCTCCTTAACAGTAGCTACGTTGTAGGTCAGACTATAAACCATAGAATCCTGGAGACTTTTCAGGAAGATATTGCAATATCAGGGGAGATTTTAATCTTCATATATCAAATTTGCACAATTAGGATAGAGACTGAATTCATAGAAAGTGACAATTTCCTGGAACAATGCATTCTAGAATGAAATCAGGGAACAGGTAATTCTAGAGCTGGAAATATGAAATGAGATCAGACAAATAAGTGATCTCCAAGTAAAGCAGCCTCTTGGCAAGATTGTTCCATTTCACATTCACTTTGAGGGTGAGAAATTTGGGTCTGAAATTTTGACCTTTAAAGTTAAATAAGAACAATTACAGGGGTATAAAGACAGAGTTAGCTGAAGTTGTCTAAGTAAAGGGGTTAAAAGATAAGATGGTAGACTTTTAATGTTGTTCATAATCCTCAACAATTATGTTTTCTATTGAGGAAAAGTGAGCTCTATGAGAAGGATACACCATCCATGATTAACTGAAGAAATTAAGAATAGTATTAGATGGAAAGATGTACAATACTGAAAAGATTAGTGGTGGGCCAGAGGATTGGGGAAATTTTAGAAATCAGCAAAGAATGATATTAAAAAGAGGAGAAATTGGAGTATGAAAGAAACCTCAAGTGGCCACTTTTGATCGAGAAGCAATACAGTAAGGAAAATGTATGATTTCTTTAAGAGCTTCGCGGAATATACATTGTTTTTGAGAATATTTACATGTTAGAATTAGAATTAGCTTTATTGCCACATGTACTCAAACGAGCACAATGAAAGATTTATAAGTTGCCACTTACAGCACTATCTCAGGTACAAAGGTACACATCAGTTACACAAACTTAGAAAAATAGAGAAACAAAATGTTCAACATTTCAGAAATAAAAGTTCAGAACAACGGTCTTCCAACCCGGACCATGCTGGCACCTAGCCTTCAGTCCACACTGGACCTTGGTTCCAGACCATGCTGGACTTCATCTGGAGGTCCATGAGTGCTATTAAGCATCTTTTAAAGGAAGTAGCTGCACAGACAGTTGATGTGTTGATTGTAATCTTCCAAAAGTTCCTAACTTCTAGAAAGGTCCCAGTGGATTGCAAAGTCGCAAACCTGGCACCACTATTCAAGCAAGGAGGGAGACCAAAAACAGGAAGCTGTAGGCCAGTTAGTCTAACATCTGTTATTGGGAAAAGTTCTTGAATCCACTGTTAACGAGGTTCTAGTAAGACATTAGTAAAATCATAACATAATCGGGCATGGTCAGCATGTTATGTGAAAGGAAGATTATGTTTGACAAATTTAATGGAATTCTTTGAGAAAGTAACAAGCACAAGGTAACAAGGTGAATAAAGGGGAACTGGTAGTTGTAGTGTATTTAGATTTCTAACTTTTTCAATAAGGTGCCACATAAATGATAAAAGGTTGTGGAGTTCTATATGAGAGTTATATGTTAGTATGTATAGAGTTTGGCTTGTTAACAAGAAACCGAGAATCAGATAAAAAGATCATTTTCAAGTTGGCAAACTATAATCAGTGGCTACCACATCTTCGATGTGAAGGTCAGTATATCTCATGTCAATGGATATAGCAACCATCACAGTTACAATAGTTATCACCTTAGTCTGTGGAGCAGAGGTATGATTTCCTTCATAGGAGGTGGGTGGAGGTTCATCCCTTTGGAAGCAAATCATAAACTCCCAAAACTAGTGAAAACCCATAACATCTGGTTCCCTTCCATTTCCTAGCAGTTCTTAGGGTTTTCTCACAAAGTAGGCAGCTCGGTGGCTCAGTGGTTAGCACTGCTGCCTCACAGTACCAGAGACCCAGGTTCAATTCCACCCTCTGGCGACTGTCTGTGTGGAGTTTGCACATTCTCCCTGTGTCTGCGTGGGTTTCCTCCGGGTGCTCCAGTTTCCTCCCACAGTCCAAAGATGTGCAGGGTAGGTGGATTGGCCGTGCTAAATTTCCCATAGTGTCCAGGGATATTTAGATTCAGAGGCTTAGGCATGGGGAAATGCAGGGGTAGGGGAATGAGTCAGGGTGGGATGCTCTTCGGAGGGGCGGTGTGGACTTGTTGGGCCAAATGGCCTGTTTCCACACTGTAGGGATTCTATGATCTATGATTCTATGATCTTATAGCAGGAGATTGGCAATGCAGCAGAGGAATTTGGACTCCAGTATGTACAGTTTTAACATTAACAATTAATCCATTCTCCTGGGTAGTGATTTCTCCTTGTGCATGTGGAAGAACATTATCGAAACTGGAAAAATATTAAGTTATATCATCTGATTACTGTATATGATCATTTTACCATTTAAACAATTTTTTAAACTATTTGCTATGGTGGTGTTATGCCTGTATTTCTACAGTGGTCTGTCCGTAAGTAATTTAAGATTTTAAAGTAACAAAAGATGCATGAAGTTAATTATTTCTACATTCTTTCCACTCAAGGTGAGTATCACAATCATTGAAGCAAGACAGCTCGTGGGATTGAACATGGACCCAGTTGTATGTGTTGAAATCGGGGATGAGAAGAAATATACAAGTATGAAGGAATCGACAAACTGTCCCTATTACAATGAGGTACACTATTTCTATATGTTACATCCCTTCTGTAATCCTGCATCTTCAAAAATCAGTCCTTTCAAGCTAATCAGTAACTTCTGACTCTTCCAGAGAGTTAATTCCGATTCAATCTTTTCAGAAATAAATATCCATGAAGTGTTTGGAAGATCTCTTTGATTTGTTTCCAAAGGCATGGTATTGGCCCAGATTTTTTGAGAGATTTGCACAGTAAATTGAAGGTTCTGGCAGGTAGTTCCCTTACACCTGGCATCCTCTGAGAAAGCTCCTTACAATCAAAGAATTCCAAGCTTTCTGGCTCACTAAACCTAAGTAGTTACCCAGAAAATGTTAGAGAGTTTAAAAAAAAACTATCCTTAACTTTTGGGTAACTATTAAACTGAGCCCTAACTCACCATTTACCATTCTCACCCATAACCGTACCTCCCCGAATACATAACAACCCTAGACCCCTGGCAACCATCCCCAGACCCTACACCCAACCCAACAACCCACTTTTACCCCAGCCAGACAACTCTCTGACCTGACACCCAACGCCACTCTTAACCCAATCCCAACTGGCAACCAATCTGTTCCCAACAAACTATTTACCCTCAATCTGCATTTTCATCCACTTACCAGGACACTACCTCCCCACCTGGCTGATGATCTATAACATTCTCACCCTCTGGGCATCCCCCTCATCCACCTGGCACCCTACCCCCTCACTTACTTTACATACCTACCCTTTCACAATAGCTTTCAACATGTCTGCTAGACATTAACATTTCACAATACTGCAGTCCGTGGTGAAAAAAAGAGGTAAATTATTTTAATAATAATCTTCTCTGCTGCTGGATTTGTGAATTCCTGGACAGGTTGGTAAAAGTTCAGGAATTTCCTGCACAGAATTCATCTGAAGGTAAGTAAGTAATTTTTTAATCCACTCAGGGTCATACATAAGGTTTCCAACACTGACTGGAATTTTCCAATCCTGATTGGAATTTCTGCCCCACTATGATCAGGATGATTAGTTTGATAATTCCTTCCTAAAGGAAAACAAGATTTGACTTACAACTCCAGGGGAACAGTGCCTCTTTCAATTTTCTTAATTTATGTTAACATTTCACACAGCAAAGCTTCAAGGCCTAGCAAAATACCTTCAACAATTCCATTAGGGAAATCTAGAACCAGTGCCTGGTGTTCCTTTTATCAGGATGAAATAAAGATCAACAGTGTATTCGATTGTTAAAGGTCAAATACATCAAATAAAAATTGAAGCCATTAGTATTTACAATATTTTATCTCTTTTTGTTTCCTTTCATATGTCACCTTGATATTGCTTTCATGTTGGTGGGAACCCTATGAATAAATACGTAAAAATGTCATTAAACTTTGCTTGTGGGAAATTATGAGTTATTTTCAAAGTTTTTTTAATTGAAAACGTCTACATTATTGATTAAAATTATCTCTAAGTATGTACAAAAGAAATTCACCAAAGATCCTTTGAAAGCACCTTCAGACCCATGATCACTTTATCAGCAGGACATGGAGAGCAGTAGCCTGGCAACAGCACCCCCTGCAAGTTCCCCTCCAGCACTCACCATGCTGACTTGGAAATGTGTTGTCATTCCTTCGCTGTCACTGGGTCAAAATCCTAGAATTCCCACCGGGATTGTGGTTCTACATACAGCACATGGACTGCTCCAGTTCAAGAAGGCAACTCCCCACCACCCTCTCAAGGGGACAACTAGGGTCGGGCAACAAAATGCTGGCCCAGCTAGTGACGCCCACATCCCACATCCCACAAGTGAATAAAAAAAAGTCCAGAAACAGTTCTGTAGAGACTTTGCAGAGAGAAAGAAAAAATGGAATCTGACATTTCTGAGAGTTTCCAAACATGCATTTTCTACTCTTACAAGGAAACTATTTACGTTCCCTTAAGGCAATGAGGGGGTCTTGAATCTAAACAGCTCCGCGTTGTATTTTGCAGAAAGACCTTAGAGTGTGGTCTTTCCCCACTGAGCCTTGGGGATAGCTGCCCTAAGCTTTAGTGCGACCCTGAGCACATAGTCCTGGGCCTTAGAATGTGCCAGTCTGCAACACTCGGTCCAAGTCAACTCTTTATCAAAGAAGTTGACCAAGTCACAAGTAATTCCAGTTTTATTGGAAAAATACTTTTTGTTAGATTAACATAATCTGGATCGAACTTTAAGATGTGTAAACATTGGAAATATGTTCTCGTTTTGCATTTATTGTTGATTTGTGATGATTCATGTTGTTACACCAAACCTAAATACACAAGATTGTCATCATTAGTGTTTAATTTTCCTCGATGCACTTTTATGTAGATAATGCGTATAGATATTAGCTTTCAAATGTTCAATGAATGCTATTTAGATAGTTACTAAAGTCTTTGTTTTCCTTTTTTTTCCTCCAGTACTTCGTCTTTGATTTTCATGTGTCTCCAGATGTCATGTTTGATAAAATAGTCAAGCTCTCGGTGAGAAAATTTACATATTCAGTGTAACCATCTTGTTTATTTTGGGGGAGAAAAAACAAGCAGTTAAATGAAAGAATGTGAAGTAAATATTATTTAAGAACAAGTCTAATAAAACAACAGAATACTAAAGCCTCATTATGGTGCAAATGCAGAGAGATCCTTTCTGAAAGATGGCACTATCCACCATGTAACATTCCCCCTGTGCCTGAATCCAGAACCTTGATATTCACAAGCAAGAGTGCAACTAACTGAGCCATGGTTCACACCAGACATGAAACATAAAGGGGAATAGAGAGAAAGTATCAAGAACCATGCCCTCTATGCAATAAAAATACAACCGCATTTTAGGAGACTTGAAACATAAGTTAAATATATTGATTTCCTTTCTCATTGTTATTGAGGGGGGTGGGGGGGGGGGGGGGGGGGGTGGGAGGCGGGGGTGCGGTGAAAAAGTTGACTTGGCTTGCTGTTCAAGTTATGAAGGCAGTTTAAATCTTGCTAGAAAGAAGTAAGTCCATAAAAATGATTTACCTCTAATCTCTTGCAGGTAATTCATTCCAAAAACCTCCTGCGTAGTGGGACATTGGTGGGCATGTTCAAGCTTGATATAGGAACTATCTATTCACAGCCAGGTAATTACTTACAATTACATGGAACCTATGGTGCAGAAACCAGCCATTAGCCCAAGCTCTCCATTAGAATTTATATTGCAAACAAGTTCCACCCACTGATGCCACAAACCTCCGTCCTCTTTTCCCTTGTGTATGCCTACGTTTTTGTTTCAATTGTAAAATCACTTCCCACGCCAGAAGTGAATAACTCTGTCAATCAAACGAAGGGAAGGAAATTGTTTTATCCATGGCCTTTTATCTGATCTTTGACAGAACATCATTAAATGTAAATGGAATTCATAGGCAAATGTTCCACTCAGTTTAGAGATAACTGATGATAATTGGATTAATTTGTGCCAGGCATCTGCTGCCTGATAAACCAATGGGTTTGTCGGCCACTGTCTCAGCATCTTATTTCATTATATATTTGATAAATAAATGGGTCATTGCAACTTATTTTAATTGACAGTGACAAACATTTATTCAAATTCAGAATCTCCAATTTTGTAACCTTCCTATATTTTTCATTTATTTTAACAGAGCATCAATTCTACCACAGATGGGCCATACTCTGTGACCCTGGGGACATCACCACTGGGGTGAAAGGCTACTTAAAGTGTGACATAGCTGTCGTTGGGAAGGGGGATAATATCAAGACACCACACAAGTCTAATGAGACTGATGAAGATGATATAGAAGGGTGAGGGATTACATTTACTGAAGGATCTCAGTTCTTACATTCAACACCCGCGAAATTGAAAATTTTTCTTATGATGTGCAGTCTATATGTAAAACATTCTCCAATGCTCTGTGATCTGATAAATACTTCTTTATAATTGCTCCACTCAAGAAAAAAATGAAATTATGCTATAGCCACATAATTTTTGTTTAGTGATGAAAGAATCGTGTGCATAAAACCAGAGGGAGGTTTCTATTCAGATGATAGTATCAGAGATGTAATTATAAAGTAGGCTGGCAGGAATCAGGAAGTATTCAGTGACAGGGATTGTTTTAGTGTTGGACTTTTCCAGGGGACTGGGCATGTTGCTTCCCCCTTCCTCAAGAGAAAAGTTGGTTGCAGGCTGACTGACTTTAAAAAGAGCTGCTTTGCAGCAATAATGCAACACAAATGATCTTAACAAGCTCTCGGAGAAAGGAGGTTCCTCCCATGAGGGCTGCTGACCAATCCAATTGGCTGGCATCTAAATGTTCCAAGCTACTGCTGAGCAGTCCCAAGCAGAAGATTGACAGCAACCAGACTTGGTGGTAAATCCAGGGTTCTTGGTCCAAGAGGGGTAGAGTCCCTAGGAAAGAGTGCGAAGTTTTGGGTTTGGATTTTGGATGTAGAGTGACTGTAACCAAATTAGGAGTAACACCTAAAGGACGAATCTGCTTCCTTTCTCCGTTCTGCAGATGTTAATGTGGTGGGTGCAGAAACCAGTCTTTCACATGCCATTAACTGGGTGGGCCACAAGGCAGTGGCCTAGCTGCCTGTTTAATTTTATATGTCCATGCTGCCCATAAGCATATTGCCTGGGAGAACCATGAAATTCTCCTCTCTGTATAAAGCAAAGCAGAGTACCAAACTATTGTTGTCTTTTCTCTTCTGAAGCCATTCGATAAACACATACACAACTTTTCTGAACAAATTTGAACCTTTTTTTGCAAATACCAATATTTTAATAAATGTTGTGTTCTCAATGAAAAGTAGTGTTTGCTACACCCTGTCCTAAATTGTCATCAAACATGTGATGCAACAGGAGTAAATTGTGCTATCATGCAATATTGCACCTTTCACAGGTGATTGTACTGCCACAAAATGACACATGGCTCTTCACCTTCCCAAATATTATTTTTCTGAATATATTTCGCTCAACAATTTCCAAACGATTATCATCTACTAGAACTACAGATCTACTCCAAAACCTTAGATTATCATCTACCTGTTTATCAATAGGAACTTATTGCTCCCTGAAGGAGTACCCTCAGAGAGGCAGTGGGCAAGGTATTATGTCAAGGTCTACAGAGCAGAGGGACTTCCGAAGATGAACACCAGCATAATGGCTAACATGAAGAAGGCATTCATTGGAGAAAACAAAGATTTAGTCGATCCCTATGTTCAAGTATCATTTGCAGGACAAAAGGTATAGTGATAAATATTTTACAAACTGTACATATGAAAATACAAAAATGGTAGAAGTATAACTGGATCTTTACTTCTTTTCCTGATCTATTTTACAACGTTGCCAGTCTTTAACCAAATAATTCCTTTTACAACCTATTGGAATTAAGACAAAAAATGTACCTTTTAAGTCATGAAAGCGTCATGAGACAAGCACATTTTACAATGGAATTATGACAATGCATGACAATTTATTTAAAATGTTAATCACCTTAATTTTAAATAAGTTAACAGTTTAATATAGTAGCCAATAAAGGAATGATTGATGAATAATTTTATTGTTATATATATCCTGAAGATACACTGAAAAGTGTCTTGTCACCACAGGCTGATGCCATTTTGAACTACAAAAAGAATTAAAAGAAGTTATTCAAATTAGAGTTCATCTTCTGTTCACCTGGGTTTCAAGCACAGCTTCAGGGCTTCTGCAAAGTGATCCAGGCCTCATGAAGCCCCACCCTGGGAACAGAAACAATTAAGTCAATGCCCCAGGAGATCCTGGCTCTGCTGCTATACAAAACCACCAAAAGTCCAGGCTCCGGGCCTACCACTACCAGGACTCTCCACTCTGGGTACCACCACCACCAAGAGTCCAGGCTCCGGGCCTACCACCACCAGGACACTCCGCTTTGGGTACTACCATCACCAAGAGTCCAGGCTCTGGGCCTTTTGTCGCCAAGAGCCCAGGCACAGCTGCTGCCACCAGGAGTCCCGATCCACACCACTGACATTGCAGCCACTGCCCCACCAACACCGCTCCAGCCTCAAAGATGAGAAAAGAGAAGAAAAAGAAGAAGATGAGAAGCACATAGAGAAAAGGTGCAGCCTGGAATGGACAGGTTCCAATGAGCCCAAACACTACCTACCAGGCATGCATCACCATCTTGAATCTATGGGAACATAATCTGAATGCATTTTCCAGAAGTTTCCCATTCATTTACTATAACTATAATGAAAAATACCAGTGCAATTCTCTGAGAAATTCTCTGGAAAACTGTTTATATTTTTTTCTGGTGGTTTCCCCTTGAGGTTATGGGGAACATCTGCAGAACTTTCACCTTATTGTATCTATTTATATATTTGTCTGCTTTTAGTTTTCTAATTTGAAAACACTACCTAAGTGCGAGTGTTTGAATTTTAAACTCTGTGATCAGATTTAGAAGACAACAAATGATATTTGAAATGGAATAGTGGGCTCACAATCTTCAGATCCATCATGGGGACATTTGCCATCCCAAAGGGAGAGAGATCCATGAAGCCCTCCTTCCCTTTATTAGTCAGATAAATTGAAAAGTCTTTTGTCAGTTTGCCAATTGTTGGAAAAACCCATCTGGTTCACTAATGTCCTTTAGGGAAGGAAACTGCCATCGTTACCTGGTCTGGCCTACATGAGACTCCAGACCCACAGCAATGTGGTTAACTCTGAACTGCCCTCTGCGCAACTGGGATGGGCAATAAATGCTGCCTAAAAGCGATGCCCTTATCCTGTGAATGAATAAAGAAAAAAAAACAGCTTTTAAATCTGTGCAGAATTGTTTTCGATTTTCTTTTTACATAAAGCCTTCCATAACTCAGGAGTTAAAGAAACTGTCCAATTCCTTTCTATGTTGAAGCTACGAAGTACCAGAGCACATTTGAACTAATGAAAAATTGTTTATGGACTACCAGGAAGGTTAATAAAATGTTGGCCCTTATTTCAAGGGGTTTGGAGTATAAAAGTAGACAAGTCTTACTGTAACTGTACAAGGTGCTGGTGAGACTACATCTGGAGTACTGTGAAATGTTTTAGTTTCCTTATTTAAGGGAAGATATTGTTACATTGGAGGCAGTGCAGAGACAATTCACTCAAATGATCCCTGGTATGGAGGGATTGTCTTACGGACAAAGGATAAACAGGTTGGGAATCTCCTCACTAGAGTTTAGAAGAATGACAGGTGATCTCATTGAAATGTGAAGGATTCTTAACAAAGCTTGACAGGGTCAATGCTGAGAGGATGTTTCCCCTCGTGGATGAGTCTAGGACCAGATGGCATAATCTCAGAATAAAGGGACACCAATTTAAGACTGAGATGAGGAGTAACTTCTTCTCAGAGTTGAGAGTCTTTGGAACTCCTTGCCACAGACAGATGTGGGGACAGAGTCCTTGTGTATATGTAAGGCTGAGATAGATTCTTGATCAGCCAGGGAATCAAAACTTAAGGGGAATTGAGGGAAGAGGGCAGGAAAGTGGACATGAGGAATGTGAGATCAGGTATGGCTGTATTGAATGGTGGAGCAGGCTCAACAGGCCGAATGGCCTACCCCTGTTCCTATTTCTTGTGGTTTTATGGATTTCTGCTGCTTAATTCAAATTACAAAATTTGCAACATTATTTTCAGATGTCGTTGGTTTATCAACTTGGATACTCTTGAGGTGTCAAATGTGCTAATTTTTTGCATGTATATTTTGGATATTCTGAAACTTGTTTGCAGTATTGAGAATAGTTTTAATCAGAAATCTAGTCCGGATTTGTTGCGTAGGCTGAAGACAACATAGTTTTCTTGTATGTTCTGTGGAAGACAAAGCCTCAGATACAGTTTCAATGAGTTATTTACCTACCGCACTGAATCAATGCAAATGACTACATTTTGAAAGCAAAATCAGAACTGGAAATAAACTGTCTCAACAATGAATGTACCACTTACATTTTTCTGAAATTGTGATGATATAATAGACCTGCCAAGTGTTAGTGGAGTGTTAGTCACTGATTTTTAGTTTCAAAATGTGGTTTATTTTGATCTAGTTAGTTCAGTAAACTGTTGTTCTCATTGATCACAATTGTTATTCATATCACTGTTAATTACCATAACACCAATTAGTTCTCTGCTATTTAATCCTAGTAACTCAAACCCAGCCATAACCAGTGTTTTATTCTTTGACCAGGGAAAAACCAGTGTCCAAAAAAGCACATATGAACCAGCATGGAATGAGCAAGTCATATTTACTGAAATGTTTCCACCTCTCTGCACACGAATAAAAATCCAGATCCGAGATTCCGACAAAGTGAATGAAGTTGCTATAGGAACACATTTTGTCGACCTGAGAAAGATTTCAAATGATGGTGACAAAGGTAAACCAGTGCCTTACATCTGACCATTTCTCTCGATTGTCCTACAGCAGAATCCAATGGCATATTTCTGAAGTTCTTTTATGACCTCCTTCATTAGAATTTGTCAATTTCTCCTACAATGTTGGACATATCATCAACATGTGGTGTGCCCTTTTACAGGATTTCTGCCCACCTTTGGTCCTTCCTGGGTGAACATGTATGGGTCCACTCGTAACTACACCTTAATGGATGAACATCAGGATTTAAACGAGGGTCTCGGTGAAGGTGTTTCGTTTAGAGCCCGATTACTCATTAGCATTGGTATGGAAGTCTTAGACACAGCCTCAACAGAGATAATAAGCTCCACTGATATTCAAGTGGAGTCAATACAACGGATATCAGATGTAAGTAGTACCATCTCTGGGAACGGAATGGGGATTTTTATTTCATTCTACTTTTTTAGCTCACAGGGAAGAAGTCAGTCTCGTAAATATCACGTTGTCAAATGTTGAGATCATTAAAACCTGAAAAATATTATCTATTAAACAATTATACATCCCTTCCTAACAGAATTGTGAATGTACATACATCCCAAGTACTACAATAGTTATAAAATTGTCGAATCCCCTACAGTGTGGAAACAGGCTGTTCAGCCAACAAGTCCACACTGACTCTCCAAAGAACATCCCAACCAGAATCACCACCCCCTACCCTATCACCTTGCATTTCCTGTGGCCAATCCACCTACCTTACGTATCCCTGGACACTATGAGCAATTCAGCATGGCCTATCCCCCTAACCTGCACATCTCTCAACTGTGGGAGGAAACCAGAGCTCCCAGAGGAAACCCCTACAGTCACAGAGAGAATGTGCAAACTCCTCACAGACAGTCGCCCAAGGCTGGAATCGAACCTGGGTACCTGGCCCTGTGAGGCAACAGTGATAACCACTGAGCCACCAGTTCAAGGAGGCAATTCATGACCACCACCTCAAGGGTAATTAGTGGTGAACAAACCTAGCTAGCAATACCCATGTCCTGTAATGTTTTATCACACATATAGAAAGATTCTCCCTCTTCTAATTGAAAATATAAGACTAATACCTTCATCAAGACAGTGGAGAGAGATTTGTTTCAGTACTCCATACTCTGTCCTTGCTCATATTAAGTGCTGTTCACTAACCATTCCTCTGCTCGCTGACCAGTGTTGGTTCCCAGTTAAACGACGCATTGATTTTAAAATGTTCTATCATGTTTTTGAATTCTCTCCAGGGATTACCCACTCCCTATCTCTTTAATCTCCTCCAGCACCGTAACAATTCAAGATATCTTCTCTCATTCATTTTGTTTCTAGTCTCTTCAGCATCTCCAATTTTATTTACCCAACACTGGATGCTATGCCTCTGACTTTCTAGGCACTAAGCTGTGATATTCCATTCCTAAACCCCTCTGACTGTATCTTTGAAGATGCTCTTTAAAATCCATGGTGACTCAAAAACGTTCTAACCTAGATTATTGACATCTACCTAATATCACCTTAATTGGCTCAGTGTCTAATTTTGCTTTATAACAATCATGTGAAGCACCTTTGGGGTATTTTATTACAGTTGCTTGGCTGTACAAAACTTGAGCATTGCTGAAAATGTACATATTGTTGAAATTTTTCTTCTTCCATTGATGAGGACGTTTCACAAGAATACCAATTTAATGGGAAAACCAGCATTTATACTGTATGAGAGGTGAATGCTGATTGGTTAGGAAGTTGGTATAGGCTTTCAACAACATATGTTTTTTCAGAAATATATTTTATTATGTCGAAAGCAATACATAAATACAAATAGTTCTTTTTGTTATTCATATTCATACTAATTAGAGGAGATCCTGTCACAGTGACGTTGTCACTAAACTCGCAATCCAGGCTGATGCTGTGGGAGACATGGGTTAAATCCCAGCACGGCAGCTGGTGCTATTTATATTCAATTAATAAACCTGGAATAAAGACCAGACACAGTAACAATGACCGTGAAACTATTGTCATTGTGGGGAATACCCACTGTTAACTAACCTTCTTCCCTTCTTCAGAGAAAGTTAACTGCTGACCTTGCCTCTATGTGGCCTGCGTCTAACTCCAGAGTCACAGCTATGTAGTTAACTCTTAACTGTCCTCTGGCATGGCTCCAGTGAGCCATTCAGTTCATTGGCACTTCGGGATGGAGAGAAATTGCTGATGATGCTCATTTCCCATAAAGAATACACTTTTTAAAAGAGTACCATCATCAAAAACAGTTTCTATCTTTGTGCTATTCTGCAGCTTAAGGTTAGTGGATAAGCATTGATCTAGTTGTGAAATCGTCTCTTCAGTGCAAATAACTGTGCTATAAAGATGTCTTCAGTGCTTCACAGTTATCATTCCCAGATGAATGACAAGTTCCCTCTGTAATAGACTATTGTGTTCGCAACTCTTCATCCTTACATCTCAGGCTGAAAACATGTAGCACTAATTTGTTGCTAAAAAGTTAGAGTTGAATAAAAAACAGTTATATTCAAATTGTTCATGTGAAAAACTAATGTAAATACAGGTAAAAGCTGCTAATCTTATTGTAAATATTTTATGAATGATGTGCTAAGTGGGTAAGTTGTCAAATACAGACAAATTGAGAAACTTTTTGACACCAGTTAGAGCTTTGCTAACTACAGGATCCCCTTGCAGACCATCTTGGGTTCAGACATCTCACCTTGAAGCTGTATAATGGAGGGATGTTTGCTTCCCACCAATCTGCAGATTCACTTAGATTTCAGAGTGTTAGACAAAAACAGAAATTGCTGGAAAAGCTGAGCAGGAATGGCAGCATCTGTGGAGAGAATTCAGAGTTAATGTTTTGGGTTGAGTGACCCTTCCCTCAGAACACTTTCTTCCTTCAGAAGGTATTAGTTTTGTCAGCCATTCAGTTTTATATCTACCTGAAAAATCCAAACCAAATATTTTGCAAGGCAATATAATTCCTAAATAGTGTTAACACACTTTAATTTTTAATCCCAGCTTGCGACGGGAAAATTGGAAGAGTTCTTTCTCTTTGGAGCCTTCCTGGAATCAACAATGCTTGACAGAAGAATTGGAGATAAACCAGTCAATTTTGAAGTTACAATTGGTGAGTGTAGTCTAAGTGATCCTCAGTAGAGTGGATAATAGCAATGGTTTTTGCTTCTGACAGCATGCAATTGTGGATCTCTGAATTCAGTCAGTTAAAATTAGTGGATGAAAAATCCACCGTAAGATGAGCAATTTCACACTTGCAGCATGCATAATAAGTTCTGGAGTAGAATGTTTATTCTGATGCTTCATAGTGAATGTCACAGTTACAGAATTGTTACAGAAGGCCATTCTGCTCATTTATTCCTGCATCAGAAAATATTTGCTGCATTAGCTGGGTTTCATATAAATGTAATTATGATTCATTAGGGCCATATTCTGGTTTATTAAAAAAAAAGCAGAAATAGTCAAGCATTCATTAAATTAACTAAATTTGTAAACGGTTGGAAACTATGGCTCAGTCTTCTGATGACACCAGCAACAAATTTTGAGACATTCTGTGCTATTGTGCCTCAGGACCCTGAGGAAATCCCAACCTGCCACATATGCAGTGTTTACCAGGAAGTCTAAGCTCCAGTGGGCAGAATTACGCTGCCTGGGTCACTCAGAGTGTCTCTAACGCTGACCTCAGTGTTGAGAACTTGGGCTTGGTACTTTTACCCCAGCTTTCTGCCACTTCTAATCTCAGGGCAATAATTAAAGCAGAAAAATAGAAAAGTAAACACAGCCCCATCCCGGATTAGTCAGCATCCCCTTCCCTCCTCCCATCCCCAACCACGCTGCACTTTTGACAGTATGTTCGACCCTATCAGGGTCTTCTGAAAATTCTGAACTTCTTCCCCTCATCATTGGAAATGTTCACTCCTCTCAAACCCTCCCAACAGGACTCCCCTTAAAACCCTCAACAGCATTGAGCTCGTCAAGCCCCAGTAATGCTCACACACACCTCATCCCGACAGTACTAACTACCCCTCAATAATGATCAGCCCCTGCACCTACAGCAATGGTCACCACTCACTCCCCCTTCAGTAATGATTACTCCTTACATCAGGACAATGCTCATGACTCCCATCGTCTGCACCCCAACAATGCTCAATCCCCACTCCTGGCCATCTAACGATTTATTTTTGAAGTACATTTACTGATGTGCAGCCAAATGTGACAGCCAATGTGTTCATATCTACATTTCACCGACACTGAGGTGACTGGTTTATGATGGTAATTGCCCACAGAACCAGGAAATATTTCTCTTTTGCTGTGCATAAGTGTTAGGTAACTCACGTCTGTACTTAATTATGAAGTTCTAGTCATTTGTGTGGAACATTGACACAGCCTATCACTGCAGCACTCTTGGTAGTGAAGCTGCTGACTCGGAATCCCTTTTTCCTTCTCTGTATCTTCATAAATATTTTTCTTTCCAAATGCTCATTCAATTGTCTTTTATATTTTCCAAATTTTAACAACTTAGTTCAGCGCTGTACACATAAAATGCCATTGCATCTGACTGTCATAAAAAATATTGAATAATTCACAGTTTGGGCTAAACATGGTGATACTTGTTTCTTCAATGTCATGCCACGTCAAGTTGCCAATTATTTCAAGCAAGACTGACAAAATTACTGCCTTAGTACTCAGACTATAACAAAAACGTACCCGATGAACTTGGGTCTGTATACATGGCATGAAAGAAGGTGCTATCCGATAAAGATTCTTCACTGAGTTGTGTTCCTGCATACTCATTTACCTTTTCTAAAAACATATAATATTTCAGAATATGATTGTAGGCTGTTACTGGTGCAAATCCAGTTTATATAAATAAGTTTATTACTTCACTTCAAAATTGATGAACCAATTGACTTTTCAAGCCTTTGTTCCTTAGACTTCAGAAAATCAATATGAGGGCCCTAGCAGCAAATATAGCCAAGTGAGAGAGAGGCGTGGTTTTATTGGGTACCAGAAAATGGAAGGTAGAGCCACGGGTAGGGTTGAGTTAAATCAGTTGTAGAAATTTCATGATGAATTGAAGACCAAAGCCTGGAGAGTTGGGACTTTGAAAATGCAATTGTAAACAAATTAGGGGACAGTTTTTACAGGGACAGATGCAGGAGAAAGTAGTGTGGGGCATGGAAGGGTGATGTGGGTTGTGTAGGATACAAGGAAATGATCGGAGATAGCCTTATCTGTTGTTGACATGTTAGAACTAGCAAGGTAGAAACAATTTTATTACTTCACTTCAAATTGATAAGCATCCACCCTACTAGACATGGCCTCTTGAGAGTTGGGAACACCTGCCCCCACCCCCTCCCTCCTTAATGAAGCCTCCCCACCTGACTGCACATTCGGCAATTGTCCCGTCTTAACTGGCATGGTGGCAGTATGGCATTTCTCAAAAGATCAGAGCTTGGTCCAATCCTCTACTCCTCTGACACTTTCTTCTCATGTGAGCATTTTGCTACGTCTAACCCTGTTAGCCTTGCCATCTCACCTGACTCTTTTTTTAAATTCATTCATGGAAATGAATGTCATTGGCTGAGCCAGTATTTATTGCCAATCCCAGATGTCCTTGAGATCTTGCTAGTTCTATATTACTAACGTAGCAGACTGCTCACCCAACTTTACACGCTGGATGGGTAGGAAGGTCCTCCAGTTCAATATTGAGAAATCGTAATCTTTCAATGCCAAGCCTTATCCAAACTATGTTCCCTAGCTGCCATCCCCATCTCTCTGGGTTAATCTTAACCATTTACCAATCTGTTCACAACTTTTGTGTCACATTGATCCCAAGATGAGCTTCTGACCTTCTATGCATGGATGAATACCATTTATTTCTATCTCTGTAACATTATCCAGCTTCACATATTTCAGCTCAGCTGCCTTTCCCCTTTGTTACTTAATAAAGTTGGCTATTTCAATACACTGTCTCCCACATTCCACGCTCTGTATATTTAAACATTTCAGGGCCACCCTTGTAGGAGAGAGATGGGGAGAAATTTCCTTGCCAGGGGGAGGTGCACCTTTGGAACTCTGCCTCAGAAGCCAATGGAGGTGGGGTCATTAAATATTTTTAAGGTGAGGTCAAGGGAAATGGGGAGTGCAAAGCACTTTGCTGCCATTGTCTGAATTGTGCCTGTTCAGCTATCACCCCTGTGCTCACTAACCTACAGTGACTCCTGTTCAAGGAATACATTGATTTTTAAATTCTCCTTCACGTCACTGAACTGCCTTGCATCTTCCTATCTCTGTAATCTCGTTCAACCCTATAACCCTCTAAGATATCTGTACCACTCTAATTCCGGTGTCTCACACATTTCCAATTTATAACTCCACCATCTGTGGCTGTGTGTTCATGTGCTAGGACTTAAGCTCTGGAATTCCCTTCTTATGTCTTTCTGCCTGTATATAATATTGTCCTCCTTTGTGACGTTTCTTAAAATGGCCCTCTTTAACCAATCGTTTAATCATCTGAATACCTCCTTAGGTGGTTCAGTGCAATGCTTTATTTCATAATGCAACTGTGAACCATAGGAGATTTCAATACAACAAGATTGCTGCAAATTGTTGTTATCATCTTGAGTTTCCTTTTCATCTAAGGCAAGGAAATATGATCACTCTGCTTCTCTCTAGGTAACTACGGGAACCAAATTGATGGAATAAGCAAGCCAGCAGTTCGCAAGAAAAAAGGGGGAAGGGACACTGATGAGGAGGAGTCAGAACTTCTCCAGAACTCAAGTGAAGATGAAGTCGATGATGATGGAGACGTGGAGCCTGTGTCCTGCACTCCACCGATGAAACCCGTTATTACCGACAGGTCTGTGGTCCGTACATAAAAAAGAGTTATCATTTAACAATTTACTCCATCACTCATTCACTGAGAGAATTGCACAGATCAAATGGCCACATCTGAGTAACACTCTGGATTTCTCTCCCTTCACCACTCTCTGCTGGTGAAGCTCTGAACAAGCACAACTGAGCAGAATTTGTACTCACCAACTTCTAAACGAGAAAGTCAAGGGAAGAATTTGGCTTCATATTGCTCTATTGTACTGAGTAGAAATACAACTAGCACAGAATGACTAACCTTTCAAATTATGTTCCAAGATTTTGCCATAATGCAGTCCACAATTCTATCTCAAAAGTTCTATTGCTGCTCAGCTTCGTGCAGCTAAAACTATTTATACAAAACTGATCACGTCACCAGCTTAGGGCACCCTCATGTGGTATAGTGGCAGCATCCCTATGCCTGGACCAGGAGGCCTGAGTTCCAATCTGACCTGCTCCAGAGATGTGTAACAACATCTCTGAACAGCTTGATTAGAAAAATAGGTTGAATTTGAACAAAAGTCTCCAATTTATTAAATTGTTGGTCAAAACATAGGAATTTCTTCTATACATCAAATCATGAGAAACATCATAAGAAATCTTATGGCTATTACTGTGTAAGAGTGAGATAATTTAATTGGATTAAATAAAGGTGTTACATTGTCATCTTTCCAATCCTCTGACACTTTTCCAGAACCTCCAGATTCTTGGAAGATTACTGCCAGTGCATCCACTGTCTCTGCGGCTCCTTTCTTTGATATCTGAGGGTATATCCCATCAGGTCCACAGCAATTATCAGACTTTAGCCCCATTAGTTTCTCTAGCATTTTTCTCTGGTGATGTTTATTTATTTATTTCCCTCCGTTTGCCCCTTGATTATTGAGTAGTTTTGGAATGCTATCTATATGGACTTCAGTAAGGAGTTCGACAGAATTCCTCATGGTAAACTATTTAGTAAGGTTAGATCAGATAGAAAACAGAGAGAACTACCCATTTGGATACAGAATTGTCTCAAAGGTAGGAGACAGAAGGTGGTAGCGGAAGGTTGCTTTTCAGACTGGAGGCCTGTGACCAGCAGTGTGCTGCAAGGGTAGGTGTTGGGTCCACTGTTTTTTGTCATTTATATAAATGATTCGGATGTAAACATAGGAGATATGATTAGTAAGTTTGCAGATGACACCAAAATTGGTGGTGCAGTGAACAGCAAAGAAGGTTACCCTCGAGTTCAAAGGGTTGTTGATCAGATGGGCCAATGGACCAAGGAGTGGCAGTTGAAGTTTAATTTAGATAAATGTGAAGTGCTGCATTTTGGAAAGGTAAATCAGGGCAGGACTTATACACTTACTGGCAAGGTCCTGGGGAGTGTTGCTGATGAAAGAGAAACAGTGCAGATTCATAGCTCCTTGAAAGTGGAGTTGCAAGTAGACAGGATAGCGAAGAAGGTATGCTTGCCTTTACTGGTCAGTACATTGAGAATAGGAGTTGGGAGATCCAGTTGCAACTGTTGCAATGTACAGGACATTGGTTTGGCCACTTTTTGAATACTACGTTCAATTCTGGTCTCCCTGCTCTAGGAAAGATGTTGTGAAACTTGAAAGGGTTCAGAAAAGATTCACAAGGATGTTGCCAGGGTTGGAGGGTTTGAACTACTGGGGGAGACTGAATAGGCTAGGGCTATTTACTCTGGAGCATTAAAGGCTGAGGGGTGACCTACTAGAAGTTTGTAAAATCACGAGGGGCATGGATAGAGTGAATAGCCAATGGCTTTTCCCCAAGGTAGGTGAGTCCAAAACTAGAGGGCATGGGTTTAAGGTGAGAGGGAAAAGAGTTAAAAGGGACCTAAGGGGCAAATTTTTCACGCAGAGGGTGGTGCGTGTATGGAATGAGCTGCTAGAGGAAGTGGTGGAGGCTGGTACAATTACAACATTTAAAGGGCATCTGGTTGGGCATATGAATAGGAAGGATTTGGATGGATATGGGCCAAATACTGACAAATGGGACTAGATTAATTTAGGATATCTGGTTGGCATGGATAAATTGAACCATAGTGTCTGTTTTCATGCTGTATAGCTGTATGAGTCTATGACCATACTGATACCTTCTACTGTGAAGACTGCTATGAAGTATTCAGCTCCTTTGCCACTTCCTGGTTCCTCAATATTATTTCCCCAGCCTCGCTTTCTAAATGGCTTGTGTTCATTTTGGCGTCTCTTTTACTTATAAATCTAAAGAAGCTCTTGCTGTCTTGATATTTACTGTAAGTTTACCCTCAAGTTTTATTTTCTCCCTCTTTACTTTTAATTTGCCTCTTGTTGGCTTTTAAAACTTTCCCAATCGTCCAACTTACTACTCATCTTTGCTACATCCTTTCTTTCAATTTGATGCAATCCTTAACTTTCCTAGTTGACCATAATTAACTTTTGCCCTTAATCAAGTCCTTCTTCCTCCTCCTATTATTAACATTTATTATTCAATAAATATTTGGCACTTTTAGTTTTTTAGATAACCTCACAGTTTGTCACACTATATTTTACATTCTTGTCCACTCACTCACTCACTCCCACTTGCAACAAAGCAGCCTGATTTTATGTCTCTGTAGTTTCTCTGTTCTATCCTCACTTTATTTATTTATATAATCAACAAAGTTCAGCAAACTAACAAATTTCAGAGTTCAACAACACCAACACTGGTGATTCATATAAAAATTAATTTTTAAGTGTGCTAGTCCATGAAAGAATATCCAGTCCTGTGAATTAATGTGTTATTTCTCATAGCAGGTCTGTGATATACCATTACGCGACATAGAACCGTAAGATATAGGAGCAGAATTAGACCATTTGGCCTTTCAGATCAGCTCTGCTATTCACTCGTGGCTGATATGGTTCTCAGCCCCATTCTCCTGCCTTCCTCTGTCACCCTTGATCCCCTTACTAATCAAGAACCTATATATCTCTGTCTTAAATACACTCAATGACTGGACCTCTACAGCCTTCTGTGACAATGAGTTCCACAGATTCCCCACCCTCTGGCTGAAGGAATTCCTCCTCATCTCAATTGTAAAGCTTCATCCCTTCAGTCTAAGGCTGTGTCCCCAGTCTCTCCTACCAGTGGAGACATCTTCTCCATGTCCACTCTATCCAGGCTTCTCAGTATTTATACGTTTCATCAGATCCTGTTCATCCTTCTAAACTCCATCGAGTACAGACACCGAGTCCTCAACTGCTCCTCATGTGACATGTCCTTCATCCTCAGGATCATTCTTTCAAACATCCTCTGGACCCCCTCCAAAGCCAGCACATCCTTCCTTAGATGTGGGGCCCAAAACTGCTCACACTATTTCAAGTGTGGTCTGACCAGACCCTTATACAGCCTCGGCAGTACATCCCTGCTGTTGTATTCTAGCCCTCTCAACTGCCAACTGCCAACTGAAGCTACATGTTAACCTTAAGAGAATCCTGAACTAGAACTCCCAAGTCCCTTTGTGCGTCAGATTTCTTTCCCCATTGAGAAAATAGTCTTTGCCTCTATTCTTCCCACCAAAGTGCATGACCTCAACTTTCCCACATTGTATTCTATCTGCTGCTACTTTACCACTTCTGCTTGCTGACCAAGTCCTTCTGCAGCCTCTTCACTTCCTCAACATTACCTGTCCCTCCACCTAACTTTGTGTCATCCAGAAACTTAACAACAATGCCCTCTGTTCCTTCACCCAGATCACTAAAGTATGATGTGAATAGTTGTGGACCCAAAACAGACACCTGTGGACCTCTAATCACCCGTTACCATTCTGAAAAAGATCCCTCTATCCCCCCTCTCTGCTCTCTGCCAGCCAATCCTCTATCCATGCCAGCACCTGGGCCCTAACACCATGGACTCATCTTATTTATCAGTCTCCTGTGCAGCATCTTGTCAAAGTCCTTCTGGAAATCCAAATAGATTACGCAGACAAATAAACGTACTCATGATGTCATCACCATATTATGGTATATGACCAAATGGTATAAAGCTCTCAACCCCCATCTGACTGAGCTCTGTCCTCGTGCAGCATGACATATTGAGGCTAGCATACTACAGTACATCTGAATTGCCTAGCTTGAGCGCAGACACACAAGTGCCAGTGATTAAAATGTGAAACATCAGACCCTGCAATAAACGTTTGTTACATTCTTCGTTACTATATGATCCATGTCCTGTCCTTGTGTTATGAGAGCCAACTTCAGTATCACACAGCGTGACAGTAACAGGACGTCAGCATATCATATCATATCCCATCATGGTGGTACCTTATGTCAAAGAGCCATACTCTTATGGCCTGTCAGAGAGCAACAAATAGCGGGCACAATACTGGAGATACTGAGCGTACAATGCCGTTTGTCCATGTATTTTGTCAGTTATTTTTAGTATGAAATAAAATGTTTCAGCCTGTGAAAATAAAACTGCTCTAAGCACAGTGAATAATATTTCTGAAGATGTGAATGATGGTATTAGTTCTGCGTAATTGGAAGTATTTTTCAATTGTGAATTCTCCAGGGGAAAGCAGTATCCATTATAGGAAATGGTCTATTAATCTTGACCTCTTTATTTTCAGAAACTACTTCCATTTGCCATACTTTGAAAAGAAGCCATGCACCTACATCAAAAGCTGGTGGCAAGACCAGCGAAGACGCCTCTACAATGCAAACATTATGGACAAGATTGCAGACAAGCTGGTCAGCATTTCAATATCATTTTGTTTTCTCCTCAGTTTCACGTGTATCTGCTGAATAAATAATCCAGTAATCAGTCATAGTTTCTGACCTAATTCACAGACAGAATGAGTCAAGTGGCATCTTTCTGTGCCATAAATCATCCTGAACCACTGTTCATGAAAATATTTGCGGGAGTGAGATGTCTAAAAATATTGTTGGCAAAACACTGGATCATGAAGATGGAGCATGGTGCCAACCATTTTACGTACAAAGGGTGGATCTGATTCACTCAGTTTTTAATCCCATAGACTTGGAGATGTTTACAGCACAGAACGATAGTAGCCCATAGTGTCTACACCAAGCAATAAAGGTCTGGCTATACTAATCCCATTTTCTGCTGTTGGCCTGGAGATTATAGCAGTGTGTGAATATTTAAATTCTGCTTGAATGCTACAGGAGTATCAGTCTCCACCATCCTGTGTGTGAACACATTTTCCCCTCAACTCTGCTATTGGCCTTCCACCCCAACTTAATCTATGACCCCAGTTATTAACCCATCTACTAACAGAAAAGGTACCGCCTTATCCAACCTATCTACACCACTCATAATAGCCAATGATGATGCTATGTGTGCAATACCTCAGCTGTTTTCAAACTATAATTCAACTCTCTCCTGCAACAGGAGTGCGCTGAGATTTTTGGCCTGCAGTAGATATTTGGGACATGCAGGTTCAGATTTGAAGTAATGATAAAGGCAATTATAATTTTGGAAAGCAATTTACTCTGAGCATTTGTTATACCACAACAGAGTTTGAGTGTTGGATGTTTGTTGCTCCAATACACAGGATAAATATAAAGTAGTTTTAATCAGCTTGTTTGGAAATGTCATTACAAGGTGGGACTTGAATCAGGACCTTCTGGCCCAGAGGTAGGTGCTATCTCTGCACTACATCCAATGAATCCTATATGTACCTTGCAGTGTTAGGGCTGCAGTTTGTCCTCCTGAGCACCCCAGTGTCCAGGCGTGAACTTCAGTCTTTGCTGGTGGTGACAGGTCATCACAGAGTGCCTGCTTTCACATACTGCCTAGTGGCCAAATGAAGAATAACATTTACATAGAGGTTGTACTGGTTCCCGAAGAGCTACCAAGCTAGTCCCATTCTCTAGCCGTATACATAGAACATTACAGCGCAGTACAGGCCCTTCAGCCCTCGATGTTGCGCCAACCTGTGAAACCAATCTGAAGCCCATCTAACCTACACTATTAAGGAAACTGCACTGAATATGTCTAATGTAAGGTGCTTAAATAAGAAAAGAAAGATAAAATAGGGAAATAGTTTTCAAAAAGTTAATTTTAAAGGAGTAATATAATATTTTCAAGTACGCTGATGATACAAATTGAGTGAGATTGAGAATAGTCTGGAGGAAATAAAACAGATTTAAGGTAGTTTCAACAAGTTGATGACAGGTAAATACATGGCAGATACAGTCTAAAGAAAAACCAAAAGAACTGCAGATGCTGTAAATAGAAACAAAAACAAATTGCTGGAAAAGCTCAGCAGGCCTGGCAGCATCTGTGGAGAGAAATCAGAGTTAATGTTTTGGGATTGAATGACCCTTCCTCAGTTTGATATGGATAAGTGTTTGTTAGTTATCCACTTCAGTCGGAAAAACGGAATGATGAATTATTATTTAAGTTGTGATATACTGGGAAAGGCTGATGTACAAAGGGAGCTAGGTCACCAGTCCCTGAAAGCTAATGTGCAGTTGCAACAAGCAGCTGGAGGATCAATGATATGTTAACCTTTGGTGCCATTTTCGAGATGGTTCTGCAGCTCAATGCTGCACTTTGGAGTTTACTAACCCCTTTCACTGCTGTCACTGTGCAGACATTGACTCCACCAGAGCTCATCTCTCAGGGCTCTTTGCTTTCTCCCTCATCGCTCACACAGTGCACCAACTGGAGTGCTCTCAGAATTTCTGCCATGCCTTTCCTTTTTACACATTTTTCTCTCAGTCAGAGCTCACTGCTGTCATGCTCTGCCTTTTTAGCACTGACACCAATCCAATCAGCTGTCATGGTTGTCCAGCAGGGCTCAGTCTAGTGGGTGGGCATATTGCTGAATGGCACCATGCCATGTCAACCTCCCACCTGTCCATGTCTGCATACGCAGCAAACATATTGCACAGGCTTCATCCAAATGGCCATGTCTCAAAGCCTAAGGGGGGAGTCATCCTTAGTCAGGTCAAGGGAGACAGCCCTCAGTCAGGGAGCCCTGGAACAGTAAGTCGGGGGCATCACCTGCTATCAGTCCAGGGGCTTGGACATGGTCAGTGGGACATCAGGGTCGGGCGTCCACCTTGATACAGTCTGGAGAATGGGTCATGGTCAATCCTGCAATCCCAGTGTAACCAGTCCAGGGAGCAATAGTAAGTCTGTTGGAGAGCTGCACAGAGATCAGTCAGATGCATGCCTGAAGCTAACACTAGGAGGTTTAAAAAAAACCTACAGTGAGCAGAATGCGTGCAATTTGTGCTCACTGACATTCAAAATCAGTAAATCCCACATTGGGCTGACTGGCAGCTTGGGCCTGCAGGGGGGCAGATTGGGAAAAGAAGTCAATCTGAAGGGTGCTCAACAATGGCTGTTCCCCTGCTCTCCACAACGTTCTCCCCAAATTTCCTAAAAGCATTTTGTTGAAAGGTAACAGTTGTCCAAATAGACTGAGGCCACAGTTAATGCACAGGCTTGCACATTACCAGGAGGGTCAATTATTTGTTTGTACACACCATGAGTGTCACAGGAAGATGAAATATACACACCATGACCTAGATTTTCATGGCTCCAAATTTTTCAGAATGTGAGATTTAAAAATGACAGCTGGAACCAAATTCCACAACCTCCCAATACCCAGTGTACCCAGTTTTTGGTGACACAAGTTAAGAGTGGGAGGGTTGTGAGCTCATGTCCTACATTTCTGACTTGCCGAGCTCCATTCTGAAGGTCTGGATCTCTTAGACCCCCACAGACCAACTTTACCATGCCTCATGGTTCACAGACAGTCAAAGGAGCAGTCACCCATTATCTGGATTCAGAAGTCTTTTGAAATGTCACATCATACAGCTAACCAATAACCTCCATGCTGCCAACTGATACAAGACCCCACCTCCCATCCTGCACAATCCTCCTTGTCAATTCACTGCCTTACTCATACCAAAGGCTCCACATACCATCCCGTACCTACTCCTGGCACTCCCATGTCAATTCACAAAGTACACATTCTGAATGGAATAAATGAACCATATAGTGAAGATGGTATTTGTGATACTGCTTTAAAAATACCTATTTATAATCTTCCTTCAGAAACAGCTGTTGCTCCAACTTAGAAAATATCAACGATGCAGATCTCCAAAGTACCAATCACAGAATCTAGAGGCACATGACACCTCTTTGTAAGAAAAAAAAGAACAGCAGATCCTAGAAATCTGAAACAAAAACAGAATTTTCTGGAGAAACTCCCAGGTCTGGCAGCAGAGTTAATGTTTCGGGTCCAATTTTGATGAAGGGTCACTGGACCCAGAATGTTGACCCTGCTTTCTTTGTACAGATGTTGCTAGACCTGCTGAGTTTCCCAACTATTTTTAAATTTCCTAATTAACCTGTTCAGAAATGTTATAATAAACCTCTGGAGTAGATAGGACAGTACAGTCCCTTCAGCCCACAATGAACCCAAGTTAGGAAAATTCCCAACTTCAACTACCCATCTCAAAGACAGGGATAGGTAGCTGCAATTGGGAAATTTCCAAATTCCGGTTTGCGTCCCACCTGCGCCATTATATCCCTACGTAATTAAAGTTTTGTACAGTATAGCTGTCAGAAAAGAATGTCATCTACCCAAGGGTCTTTCAAGGGCAATTGAAATGTTTGAATATTCCTAAGAATTCTGCAATCATGAAGTTGTTCCTATTTAGGAGTTAGTCAGCAGTGAAGAGTTGTATTCTGATAGAGTTAGCAACATGCTGCTTATCTCGTTCTCTGTTGTTACTGCTGGTGTATTAATTAATAATATACTCCAATTCCTGCCAATAGGAGGAGGGCCTCAATGATGTTCAGGAGATCCTGAAGACGGAGAAACCCCACCCAGAGCGTCGGCTCCGAGGTGTCCTGGAGGAATTGAGCATTGGTTGCAGGTGGGTACATATAGAGATTAACATTACATAAGAATTAGCAGCAGGAGTAGGCTATCTGGCCCCTTGAGCCCGCTCTGCCAATCAATAAGATCATGGCTGATCTTTTCATGGACTCAGCTCCACTTACCCAACCAATCACCATGACCCTTAATTCCTTTACTGTTCAAAAATCTACCTATCTTTGCCTTAAAAACATTCAATCAGGTAGCCTCACCTGCTTCACTGGGCAGGTAATTCCACGGATTCACCCTTTGGGTGAAGAAGTTCCTCGTAAGCTCTGCCCTAAATCTGCTCCCCCTTATTTTGAGGCTATGCTGCCTCATTCTAGTTTTACACGTTACAGATTAGTTTATTAAAACAACAATAGTATTTACTGCTGTAAAATAGCTTTGTCTCTTTGTCAATTTGGTCAATCTACCAATTCTGAATTCTTCTAAAATTTATCAACAAAAACAAAACTAGTTGGCAAAATATTGAAGGATGGCTTTAGCAGTTTAATTTTGAAAGCTTTTCAACTGTCACCTGAAGTAAGCAATACCTTACAATGCCTGTGAGATTTTTATTTTGCTCTTTGTTGGCATTGTAATTTTAATTCTGTATTTTTCAGCAGTGTCTTTGCTCATCCCAGCGATATATTGCATTGAAAAGTCAGTATTCTTCATTATCCATGTACCCATGCTACAGCCTCAATGTTAATCTGACTCAGCTGGTAGAGACAAATGGCCTGGGTTTAAGTTTAAGATCAGCACCAAAGGGTTAGTGCATTGTCACAGGTTCTGATCTTTACTTGAAGTGTTAACCTGAGGTCAGGCCTTCTTGCTGCTGGTGAATAGGAAAGACCCTATGCCACTGTTGGAAGGAGAGCGAGCAGTTTTCTTTGTATCCTGCACAGAATACCTTCCTCTAAGAGCTTAATGCTGTTTATGGAATTATGAAGTGCTTCGAGCCATTCCTGATCACTGATAATGTGTTTTATAAATGAGATTGATAACAGATATTGTAACTTCCTTGTTTATCATTCATCCAAACCACTTCAAGAGAAATTCACTCTGTGTCTAAACACTTCTTATTCTCCCTACAGCCGTTTTGTGTCACTGGCAAACAAGGATCAAAGTACATCAGGGAGGACAAAACTGGATAGGGAGAGGCTTAAATCCTGCATAAGAGAAATGGTATGTTCAATGTATCTGAAGTTTTACAAACCACGTATAACAAGATACTTTAATGAGAAACTAAAGACATGAGTATTTTTTAAAAGATGCATGAGATCCTCACGCAGTTTAATGAAATCATTCTGCACAGAAATGGTATCAGATTCAGAAGACTTGAATGCTCCTATTTTATAGCTTGGGAAACAAGGCAAAGATTCTGTCAAAATGTCTCAACTCCAAAACATTAATCTTTTTATGGTCCTGATATTAATGGACCAGTTCTGAATCTGGAGTATTTTCTATTGTTATTCTGAGATTTTCAGCATTTAGGATTTTATGTTCATTTTATTCCTATTCTCACCTGAAATCAGCCAATTTAATGTAGCTGGGGCCAATTGATGTCATGCAATGTGAGAAATCCTGTCAATGTCTATTATTTGCAGTTGATTTGTGGAACAGGCTTAAGAGGCTGAATAGCCATTTGCTCTTATAATCCAAATGCACCAATTTTGCACAGTCGCTCCCAGAGGCAGTTGCTGAGTGAATTTAAACAAAGCAAATCATTTGTGGTAAAAATAATGTTGCTATCTGCAGTCAATAAATTTAGCATTTCTGATTTTTCTTCATAACTCCTATTGACTACATGCCCGGCCCTTTGTTACAGCTTGAGATCATTTTAAAATCTTGCTCTCCCATCTCTGTTAAAACTCACATCAGACAAGAGTTCAGATGGCAGTACCACTTACATTTAGCTTCTAGAAAGTGACATTTATTTCCACCAAATCTATTTTTCAGAATTTTTCAGGGAAACCTGTTTAAATTGTACCACAGATGCTTTGTCAAATAAATATTACTGCTATTCATAAATAAGAACGGTCAATCGATAACACTGTGGAAATATTTTTATGAAATTTTGGAAGTTTATATTCAGGGACAGGAATAAATGTAAGAAACAATGTGAAAGTTGTGAATTTGAAATTATTAATCTTCTTTCTGGAGACAAAATATCGTAATCTTTATGCTAAACCGCTGCATATCCATCAAACTGCAGGAGAACATGGCACAGCAAGCGAAGACGATGAGAACGCAGGTAAAGAAGAACACACTAAAGGACAAACTTAAACAGGTCCACGTGTTTCTTCATAAACTCCGCTTTATGGCTGATGAGGTAGGAAATTTACCTACAAGCACGATGTACAAAATATAATTTACTTTGCATGGAATATGCAGCACTACAATTGAATTGTATGTGTAGAAATTAATGCCTAGCAATTTTGTCAAAGAATAAATAAAGAAAATAGTGTCAAAATAAGATTTGCAGAGTTTTTCAGAATTTCCTGTTTTTTATTTTCAAATTTCCAGCATTTGCAGAGTTTTACTTTTATAGTATCTGAGTATCCCTGCTCATTCCTGCTTAGTGTTAATAACTCACTATTCTCTCCTCTCAGGGGAGCAACCTTACCATGTCCTTTTGCTGATGTATTTGCAGAATAATTCAGTAGTCTCTCTCATATACCCTTGCTGCACTCTTTTTCATCTTCTCTTCACCTCTCCTTATTTTCTCCTAAACCAATATTTGTATTCTGCTGATTACATCAGTGAGCCCTCTTCTTCAATTTTAATTTTGTTTTGAATGTATTGACACAGCCCTCCTAACCCTCACCCCTCTATCATTACTTTTGAGGTAACTTCTTTCAATACCTTTACTAATGTAGTGAATTGATTTTGCAGCCTCAGCATAGCATCCCTGAAATATTCATCTGGATGATGAGCAACAACAAACGGATTGCATATGCTCGAATTCCATCCAAGGATATTCTTTATTCCATAGTAGATGAAGAAACAGGCAAAGATTGTGGCAAAGTTAAGACCGTGTTTCTCAAGGTAATGTCGTCCCACTTGGGGAATCTAAACAGCTGCTATCCCAGAGCAAGATTTATTGGGAGGATTTGACTTCCTGAAGCCCAAACAGCAAATGCCCTTTAGAAACAGGAAGCTCCTTGGGAGATTTTGACCAATAATAAAAACGATTGACCCCCATTTCCATTTTACTACCGACACCCACTTAAATTTGAAGGGGCCCAAGGCCCGCTCAGCTGCAGAAGAGGATCTATTTGATGGTTGGGGTGAGCCCAAAGGGAGCAGAGGCTCAGATTTCCGTTGTGGAGCCTGGAGGAGCATTCAGCACAGCAGACAGGTCAGGTTGAATTAGCCACCCCTTACCTGATCACAAGCACAGCAATAGGACTTTGTGATCTTCAACTCAGGAAGATGCAACAGGGTTACAAACTCGGTAGTAATGCTTTACAATTGTTACACAGCAGTAATGCATTACAGTGATCACATGGCAGTAATGCTGTACAATACTTACACAGCAGTAATGCATTTCAGTGGTCACATGGCAGTAGTGCTGTAGAATACTTACACAGCAGTAATGCAGAAGGATTTCAAGGAGAAAACCAGCCACATCACATCAACACAATTGGTTTAATGGACAATTTAGCGCAGCTCCACCAGAATCATTCACATTATAGAAATACATTTAAAAGCCTCATGTTCTTCTGAAGTTTTAGTCTAATTCCCTGTTTTAATATGTCATACAAACTGTCAACATCACGAAAGTTTAAAAGAAACAAGGATTTTCTCATTCTGAATGAATACAGAGCTCTGGAATGCAAGTACATTCAAAATATAGCTGTAGTGATTGAATTGGCTGAAGAGGAACAAAATGGTTTAATTTTATTTGTTGTTAAACTGTCTGGATGCTGACATTTCATAAATTTCACTTTGAAAAGTATTTCACTGGCTGTGAAGGGCATTGGGATGTTCTGAAATTGTGAAATATGCTAAATAAATGAATGTTTTTCCCTCTTCCTCACGATAACCATTAATATTTCCGTGGTCAGAACTGAGACTTTAATAGCCTGAATTGCACTGTACTTTAAATGAATACAGAATAAGGTGCAGGAAAACAAGTGCATCATCATAATAATAATAAAATTATCCTCTCCTCCTGCAGTCTTATTATCAACAGATTTAGAAGAAAAGCAATGGCATAGTGGTATTATCCATAGGCTATTAATCCAGAGACCCAGCTAATGTTCTGGGAACTTGGGTTCAAATCCCATGACAGCAGATGGTGGAATTTTATTTCAATAAAAATCAGGAGTCTAATAGTGACCATAAAACCATTGTTGATTGTCAGGAAAAACCTATCTGGATCACTGATGTCCTTTAGGAAAGTAAATCTACTATCCTGACCTGGTCTGGCCTACATGTAACTCAGGCCTACATGTAACTCAGACCCACAGCAATGTAAAATCCGAAAGAACTGCAGGTTCTGTAAATCAGGAACAGAAACAGAAGTTTCTGGAAAAGCTCAGCAGGTCCGGCAGCATCCGAAATCAGAGTTAACGTTTCAGGTCCTGTGACCCTTCCTCAGAACTGAAACATTAACTCGGTTTTTTCCTTCACAGATGCTGCCAGACCTGCTGAGCTTTTCCAGCAACTTCTGTTTCTGTTCCCACAGCAATGTGGTTGACTCTCAACCCTGGGCAAAATTGGGGGCGGACAATAAATACTGGCCTGGCCAGTGACATCCACATCTCATGAATGAATGAAAAAAAAGTATAAATATTTGAAAAAAGAATTGTTGGGACAACGGGACTGACAGACTAAGTTTTGCCAGTAAGTTGTATGGCCTCCTGCTGGCCTATACAATTCTACTGGTGCAAAATCCCTCCTGAAACTGTCCTTATTACTTATAAGTGCACATTTACTTTCCTGTGTCAATCCACCCTTGAATGACAGACTTATGTTCACGTTCATATCATATGCAACATTTTGTGAGCATTGTGACGGTAGCCTGCTGAAAGAGCTTTTCATCTTATCACACCTATCATTTAATCTTAGGTTGATTCTCTCTTTTTTTAATAGTGCTCACTTTGTTTTTTGCCCTATGTGCCCTCAGCATCCATCCAGAACTCCTGCCTCCTCCATCATCAGCATAAAAACCATCCCTTTCCCACCTCCTGTTCGAAAGAACAGCCATATTGGACTTAAAACACTCACTTTGTTTTCACTCTCCAAAGATGCTGCCAGGCATTTTGAGTTTTTCCAGAACTTTCTGCTTTTACAGCTGAAAGATTTGTCATGGAAGGCCAATTTCTCAATGGGAACTTTATGCCTTTTTTATTTTGCTGCATTCAGAAACTCCGATACCTTTTTCCACTTTCCAGTCTTACAGAACCGTTGACTAATTATAAAGCCTTGCTTAACTGCTATGTGTGTAACTTAATAATCCTGCTGTTATTCCACATTTGTCATGTTGGTGATTGGGAGAAAATGATACGCACTCTTTGGAAACAGAGCAGGGTTTGAAAAGTGTTTAAGACTGTCTTAGTAAAGTGATTGGGATTATCCAAGAAAGGATGCTTAGGCCACTTATGTCATGAAGCGTGTTTTTAGGAGGCAAAATCACTAGAGTGCAAATTCATTTTCATTTTGTTAAAATCATTGTCATATACGAGTTGCCTTATTTGCAGCTCCCAGGAAAACGAGGCTTTGGGACTGCAGGTTGGACTGTTCAAGCTAAAATCGAGGTTTACTTTTGGCTGGGATTAAATAAGCAACGGAAGGATTTCCTGAGTGGCCTGCCCAGTGGATACGAAGAGAACAAAGCAGTCAAGGGCCAAGGATTGCAGCCCTTCCCTCCTATAAGTCTGACCTATACCAGTAAGTACTGAGTTCGAAAATAAGTGTTTAACCAATGCAGCTGTGACAATGCTGTCACTTTAAAACATTATTTTGTCCTGGTATTTTTTTTTGAAGAGAGATTGTAAGGTAGAGGCGATGAACTGGCTACTAGGGACGACTTGAGTAACAACTTGTGAGGCCTTGGATGTTTTTTTAAAAGTTGGAGCAATGGAAGCAGCTGAATGGGTGTGGGCAGCTCTCTCAGATCCAGATTTCTGGGTTTTGGGCTTTTCAGTAACAGCAGAAACCTTTGGGGTCTCAAAAGAGTTGGAGCTTCAGTGAATGATTCCGAGCTGCTGTTCTCTCTGAACCTTCTCGTTATTTTGCCTTCCCTCCTGGAATGGAGAACCGCATGTAAGAATCTGTGTCTGAATTTACCTTTTTGCCAAGGGGTGTATTTATGGGATGTTACTATTTTGGAACAGTTAATTAGCAATAGGTACTGGATCTATTATTCAGTTAAGTTTTCCAATAGTTAAGTTATACAGTCATAGATATAAACAGCACAGAAAAAGACCCTTCGGTCCAACTCATCCATGCCGACCAAATCTAGTCCCATTTGCCAGCATTTGTCCCATATCTCTCTAAAACCTTTCTATTCATATGCCCATCCAGATGACTTTTAAATGTTGAAACCATACCAGCTTCCACCACTTCCTCTGGCAGCTCATTCTACGTATGCACTACTCTCTGCATGAAAAAGTTGCCCCCAAGTTCCTTTTATATCTTTTCCCTCTCACCTTAAACCTATGCCATCTAGTTTTGGACTCCCCTACCCCAGGGAAAAGACTTTCCCTATTTACACTATCCACACCCCTCCTGATTTTATAAACGTCCATAAGGTCATCCCTCAGCCTTCAACACTCCAGGGAAAATAGTCCCAGCCTATTCAGCCTCTCCCTATAGTTCAAACCCTCCAACCCTGGCAATATCCTTGTACATCTTTTCTGGACACTTTTCCAAGTTTCTCAACATCCTTCCTATAGCAGGGAGCCCAGAATTGCACACAGTATTCCAAAGGTGGCCATACCAATGTCCTGTCCAGCTACAACATGACCTGCCAACTCCTATACTCGATGCACTGACCAATAAAGGCAAGTGTACCAAACGCCGCCTTCACCGTCCTATTTACCTGCAACTCTACTTGAAGGAAATATGAACATGCACTCCAAGTTCTCTTTGTTCAGCAACATTCCCCATGACATTACCATTAAGTTTACAAGTCCTACCCTGATTTGCCTTTCCAAAATGCAGCACCTCACATTTATCTAAATTAAACTCCATCTGCCAATCCTGGGCCCATTGGTCCATCTAATCAAGATCCCGTTGTACTCTGAGGTAACCACCTCCGCTGTCCAATATGCGTCCAATTTTAGTGTCACCTGCAATCTTACTAACCATACCTCCTATTACCTTCCTCTTTCTTTTGTTTGTATTTTAACCACAGTGTACAATAAAATTGTGTTTTGCTTAACACCATGTAGTTTGAACATCACATCGCATCTGAAAGTTTCACATCTATCTTTAAAATAAGAAAAAGTTAGTATCTAGGCTGTCTTCTTAAAATATTTTGAGGAGGTCTGTTCTGGTCCATAACACAGCATTCTGATCATAATGCATATAATTGAAGGATGAGTTAGTTGGGGGTAAGGAGTTGAAGAGCTACATAATGTTATTTTGAGTAAAAAAAGTCTTCCACTTTATTTTGAACAAGTTTTGACCAAAGTATTGTTGCCACTTTTAAGGCACGAAATTCTTTAAAGATTCAAGTTACTCTTTCTTTTTGAAATGGAATGTCCGCAACGTTTAAGCATGATATGAGAATTTTCTTTGCCTATCTTGGATTAAGTTATATTTCTTACTGGGTTTTTTATTGCCGAAACAGAGAAGCAGCTCTTCCAGCTCCGAGTTCACATGTACCAAGCACGAAGTCTGTGTGCTGCCGATAGCAGTGGCCTGTCAGATCCTTTTGCACGTGTCTTCTTCTCTACACAGAGCCAATGCACTGAGGTAATCACATACAACCCAAATGGAACATTTTCTATCAAAGAAATTCTCCAACCTGATACATGTTCCTTTTGTTAACACTAGGAAATAGTTGCAGGAAATTAAAGCTCATACTAATTTAGCTTTTACTGAAAACATGATTCCCTTCCTATCAGCATTGTAGATGTACCCATACCATATGGACTGCTGTTGTTTTGACCACCTTCACCTTCTCAAGGGCATTTAGGCTGGGCAACAAATGCTAATCTTGCCAATGACATTGACATCTCCACAATCAAAATTTAATAAATTCATTAATTGAGCAATGTTCACATCCCAAGCAATATTCCTTCTCAGTGCCTGGAGGGGCAGCCAGTTTCATTGCATATATGTCTCTTTGTCAAAGTACCTTACTAACATCTGGGTTAAACAGTTGACAATGAGTATGGGACTTGCAAGATATCGTATATGGGATTTTCCACTGCACTAAACAGAAATATTCATCAGGTATTTGATGTGGAAACATTTCAGTTCAGGATAACAATGACAGGATCGATCTTGTTTTAGATTATTAAACTTGAGTGGTATCCCTACACACAACTGGTGGAGAGGGCTGGGATGGGAGCAAAGCCAAGGTTTCTTTCTATCTGTGCTAGTCTGCTGCAGATTTAGATCAGTGAGCCGAGTCCCCGAAGGACTGAATAAGCAATCCATATTAGCCTCAAGAGCGGCATTGATAGGAGCAGAGGAGAATATCATTAGTGTACCTTCTCAGTTCAGCAATAATATGAGATAGTTGGTACCCTGTTTATTTAGTTTAAAATTATGTACCAATCTTCTGTGACTTTCTCTTCTGTAACTTTCCCTTCAGTGAAAATTCGCAATTCATTTGGTATGCTTAAGAATCAAGGCTAATATGAAGTTTAGTGACAGTGACATTGGTTCTCCCATATTTGGTTGATGGGCAATTATAGGAATTTGTGATTCTGAAAAGAAAGGTCACCCACAAGCATTTCCTACAGATAGCACTGCCCCAATGTCCTTTCCATGATTTTTTTACAATTTTACCAGGTATGCATGAGAGCAAAGATTTTGGAATGCCTTGTACCATGGCTGATAGAAATGTCAGTGATGAATTACGGAAATTGTTATAGGAATTAAATCAAAAATATGTAGAATTGGTCTTCAGTTTCACCAATTTGTTATCCACAGGTTTTGCAGGAGACTCTATGCCCGACATGGGACCAGTTGCTGGTGTTTGATAATGTTGAGCTATATGGTGAAGCACAGGAACTTAGAGATGACCCTCCCATTGTTGTCATTGAAATTTATGACCAGGATACTGTGGTAAGGAGTCCTAATGATTGGATTTTTCAGCCAGTTAGAAATTCCAGTCATGTCAGTATGTGTACAAGTATTTTTCATTGTCGTCGACAATGAATATTAATAGTTTGATGAAAGTATAAGTGTATCTACTTAATTAGGCATGTACAAAGATTGTCATGTGTTCTGATGGTTTTCAAGAACTTGCAGCCTGAAAAGCTCCTTGAACCAATGAACACCTTCATTCATAGAAAAGACAGTATATCTCTAATTCTGTCGAAAACTGAAAGTTAAAACTCCAGAAAATTAATCTTAGCTGATACATTCTTGATCAGTTGCTCTCCCTGATTTAAGACTTTCATAATCTCAGTGGACTAAGAGCCACAATAGAATTCAGACATCCCTGTTTTGCCTTGTAATCTTATAGCTCTCAATCCAGTCCTAAGTAGGCACTCAGAGATTGTAGGAACTGCAGATGTTGGAGAATCTGAGACAACAAGGTGTAGAGTTGGATGAACACAGCAGGCCAAGCAGCATCAGAGGAGCAGGAAAGCTGATGTTTCGGGCCTAGACCCTTCTTCAGAAATGGGGGAG